AAACCATCAACTCCGCAAACTACGTCTACTTCCTTGCCCTCCAAGAAATACAGCGCCTCAATAATCCCGCCGCAATCGATATCTACGTAAAGGAGCTCCTCAACCTCCACCGAGGCCAGGGCATGGACCTATTCTGGCGCGACACCCTCACTTGCCCCACCGAAGACGAGTACCTCGAAATGGTGGGCAATAAAACAGGCGGCCTCTTCCGACTCGCTGTCAAACTCATGCAAGCCGAAAGCAGCACGGGCAAAGACTGCGTCAGTCTGGTGAACGTCATGGGTCTCATTTTCCAAATCTGTGACGATTACCTGAATCTTTCCAGTACAGCCTACACGCATAATAAGGGACTCTGTGAGGATCTGACCGAGGGTAAATTCTCTTTCCCGATCATTCACAGCATTCGCTCGAACCCGGGCAATCATCAGCTTGTGAGTATCCTGAAGCAGAAGACCCAGGATGAGGAAGTGAAGCGCTATGCGGTGCAGTATATGCAAAGTACGGGCAGCTTCACGCATACCCGACAGGTTGTTCGGGATCTGCGCGATCGGGCGCTGTCTCTGATTGAATTGATTGATGCTACGCCCCGCATTAATGGTGCTGGGGATGGCGAGATGGTGCGTGCTGTTCTGAATAAAATTGTGGATTCAACATTATCGGATGAATCGGCACAATAGTTGCGGCTCTCTGCGGAGATCACAGTTCTCTACTCTTTGTCTTTCTTTTTTTTTTTGGCTAAACCCCCCGGAGGAGCTTTGACACTTTTGATTTATACCCATCTCAAGGTTTCCATAGTTGGTGATGTGTGATGATGTGCATAATAACGATATTACGACAATATGAATTTGAAATACTTGCATGAGAGCGTTGACTTGGAGTGAAGGAACCCCGCTCTGTTCTAGTAAATATATCAACTTCAATAGGTTCCAAGGTTCCAAGAGTTTCATCTAATTACAAGGGTGCCCAGGTGTTTCCAGAGAGTAGTGCGATCCTATACCTCCAAGGTTTCAATGTGGCCAACAAGCTTTCGTCGGAATCAACTGGGTACGAACTACATATCTGTAAGCCGTGGAATCCAGAAATATCAATTTACCCGGATAGTAGTGTTACAATAATTGAATAGCTCTAGCACTGCTCACTCCTCGGCACTGAGTGGATGCACGGTCTTTGCACCTCGGATCCCCCGCACGCATAACCGATTTATGCGGGGAAAGCTCTAATGAACACATCTTGATTCGACAAGGCTATATGCCAACAAATGGGATCACGGTTCAGCCGGAGTTATGAAACTGTGCCCGGTTTTAAATACTTTCCTCTCTGTCTGTTCTCCTTTCTGCCATTCAATCCATACATAGACTTCATCTTCCAAATCCTCGTGCTACTAGTATCTACTAGCACCGCCACCAATCTATCCAACATGCCGTACAAATCCCGCTGGACAATCGACATCCCAAACGCCCACCTCGCCTCAATCCTCCTAGACTCCCCAACAGCCCCATTATCCAAGACCAAGCCCTGTTTCCTCGAAGCCGCCCGCCCAGAAACACACTACTTCACCCCCCCCATGACTTCCGCCTCTGGAGCCAGCGTTTCGCCGCAGGCCTCCGCAAATCAGGCCTCCAACCCGGCGATCGCGTCCTCCTCTTCTCCGGAAACGACCTCTTCTACCCGGTCGTATTCATGGGAATCATCATGGCAGGCGGGATCTTCACCGGCGCAAACCCAACATACGTAGCCCGCGAACTAGCCTTCCAGCTCCAAGACAGCGGCGCCACATATCTAATCTGCGCCAGCAACAGCCTAGACACAGGCCTCGAAGCCGCAAAACAGGCCGGACTAGACCTCGACCGAATCTTCGTCTTCGACAACGCAATCTACGACGGTCCAGGCCTAAGCCAAAAGGGCTGTCGACACTGGGGCGAATTAATCGCCCCAATCGAAGAAGGAACAGACTTCGCCTGGGAAGACCTCTCCACCCCCGAAAAGGCCAATACAACCCTCGTCCTAAACTATTCCAGCGGAACAACGGGTCGACCCAAGGGCGTCGAAATCACGCATAAGAATTACGTCGCCAATATGCTGCAGTATAACTATATGGCCTCGTTGAACCCGGATCATGCGGAGAAATTGCTTCGCGCGCGCTGGTTGTGCTTCTTGCCGCTTTATCATGCTATGGCGCAGAATATTTTTATTGCAGCGGCTTTAAGGCGCGGGACGCCGGTTTATATCATGCCGAAGTTTGACTTTGTTAAGGTGCTGGAGTATACGCAGACGTTCCGGATCACGGACTTTATCTTCGTGCCGCCCGTTATGGTTATGCTGGCTAAGCATCCGGCTGTGAAGAAGTTTGATCTGAGTAGTGTGGAGAGTGTGGGTAGTGGTGCGGCGCCGTTGGGGAGAGAGGTTTGTGTTGAGGTGGAGAAGTTGTGGCCTGAGGGGAAGATTAATGTTAAACAGGGGTGGGGAATGACCGAGTGAGTTTCCTTTTTTTTTTTCCTTGTGTACATTGATGGTTTGCATCTATGGTTTGCATTGCACACGGTGGTCGTTATGTGGAGAGCAATGTTAATGTAAATGACTGTATAGGGCAACATGCTCCATGCTCGGCTGGGATCCGAGAGAAAAGAGCACTTCAGCCTCAGTGGGGGAACCTAATGCCAACTGCGAAGCCAAGATCGTGGCCGAGGACGGAGTGACAGAGATCCTTGAGCGCAATCAGCGCGGTGAGCTGTGGGTGCGCGGTCATAATGTCATGAAAGGATACTGGCGTAATCCTGAGGCAACCAAAGAGACCAAGACTGAGGATGGATGGCTTCGGACAGGCGACATTGCTTATGTGGATGACCAGGGCAAGTTCCATGTCGTGGATAGGCTGAAGGTACGTAACGTCATTGCGCGCTAAGTTTCGAGAATCACACAGATATCAGATATTCCAATGGAAGAGGGGCACTGACATGACCCCGCAGGAACTGATCAAGGTCAAGGGTAATCAAGTGGCCCCGGCAGAGTTGGAGGCTTTGCTGTTGGAGCACCCAGCGATTGCAGATGTTGCCGTCGTGGGTGTTGTGATGTAAGTACATCATTTTGGGGGCTCCGTTCTCTTTCTCTTTCAAGTTGTAATAGCCCCGGCGCTGACAAGGTGACACAGCAACGATGAAGAGCGGCCTCGTGCATACGTCGTCCTGGCACCTGGTCAATCTCTCACAGCAGAGCAGGTCATCCAGTTCATGGATGGGAAGGTTGCGGCAGTGAAGCGGATCACTGGTGGGGTCGTATTCATTGAAGCGATCCCTAAGAACCCATCGGGGAAGATCCTACGCAAAGTCCTGCGTGAGCAAGCGCAGGCGGAGCTGAAGCAAGGTGCCACGGCGAAACTCTAGTTGTGGCAGGGTTTGGCATTGCTTTGTTCAACTTTGGGAAACTTGAGCGAGGGGTGTATATATTGCAGAATTGGGCTCGAGGGTGCATATTGTTATGTTTCCTTTTCTTTTTCTGAGTCCGTGGGGGGGCTTCCTGAAGTTCTTTGATTTTCCCAAGGTTATTTTGGCGATCTTCTGTATGTAGTTCTCTGTAGCGACATGCATACATTAAAATGAACAGGGCGATCACTCGCGGGGATCCGTGGCCTTGGAGACGCGGGCTAAAGCCAAAAGAGAGAGAGAATTAAGAAAAAAAAACATAGCCGAGCGAGTGGATGGAGACTCTGATTTGTCGAGAGGGGACTAGGTTAGACCGTGTTAGCCAATATTAGCGCGAATGGCCTGTGCCACGCCCAGCTGGAGCTGAAAGCGCCCCTCCCAACATCGATCCGATCGGAGATCCCTCCCTCTGAGAGGATAAGCTGATCCAATCGATCCCTTTTTTACGTCTCTCGAGTTTTATCTCCGTAACCGTGACCATGGGCATGGGTCGAGCATCCCGGTTCAGAAGGCCGCGAATGATTTGGAAGGGAACAAAAAAATGAAATGACATAAAAATAAAATAGATTGAGAAAAGAAATAGTGGGGAGGCCCAGACGGGCAGATCCTGGTTAACCCTGCGTGGCGCTTGATGGTTGCAGCTGAAAACCTGGGAGTCTTCCCCGTGGCTGACTGGTCGGCAGCTGTTAAGGAAGTCTAGTGTTTTCTTTTGGAATCCACCGTTCAAAGACACGGGAAATCATGGAGTCCCTAGGTAAAGAAGGTGAGATTACTGGAATTGGCCAGTACTGCGAGTACGCAGACTCCCTTCGTTTACTTGCGCCCTCTCTTCCACCGTTTCTCTTGTGCATCTTTGACTTTATGATGGATCACTTAAAAGCCTTAATACCTTTGATGAAGATGATCTACTGGAATATATGGAATACTAGATTTTCTATTTCCTTTTCCGGTCCTTGTATTGCTCTTGCGAACCATCGTGTCACCTTCGCGGGGAAACCCTAAGAGGTGGCCTTTTATTTTTTTATAGATCCAACCGAGATGGGATGATGCCAGGCCCCGCCATCTTTTGCCTCTGCTTTCAACTTCTTTTTTTTTTACTCTATTTTTTCTGAACAAAAAAAACACTGTCGATCTCTTGATCCTCAGGCCACCCGGTGAACTCGTTTATAATCCTGGTCATAACCCCTCTTTGGATCATAAACTTGCTCAACCAACCCCCCCCACCCCGCCGTGATAGTGATAGCTGTGCTTCGGGTTTCATTGAGACCATGCACACTCCGATCTAAAGCCCGAGCCTCATATATTCCAACCCACGCATCTACTAGCACAAACTACTCTTTCGGATTTCTCGATTTTGTTTTGTTTAGTTGGTTTATAAAGCTCCCTCACATCCCCGCAATGGTTCATGGTCAAGAAGTATACACGCGATCTCGGTCTCTACCATCTTTATCCGCGTGGTCACTATACACCACTTTATTCGCGATCAGCACGATCGTCACCTGTCTATTTCTTCTATCACTGGCCATCCAGCATTTCAAACGAATTTTCAAATCTACGCCACAATTGGACTCGTGGTCCCAAATGTCCGCTATGGAAAAGGCAACATCCAAATCATTCTCGCCGCCGCCACCACCAGCCGCCTCTGCATGCGACGTGTTAAAACCACTTTCGCACAACAGCGATTTTCCAAGCAGCGGGGCCGTGGCAGCCAGAGCCCGCGAGCAGATGGAGAACAATAAGATATCTTCCCCGGTGGTCTCCGCTGCAATTGTTGCCACGCAGCCTCGATCTGGATCGGAGGGAGATGCACCCACCGGATCTGGATCTGTCCAAAAACGCAACGAGTCGGTGCAGCAGATGCGCGAGGTGGATGATTCTGGTGTTCGGACGTGGCGACGCCTAGTCGTTGAGTATAGTTAGTGGGGGTATTTTTTGGCATTTTTGCCTAAATCATCTTTGTTTTTTCTTGTGTCATGCTTTTAGCCCGGTGGCCTTTTTCATGGTTTCTCGTTTTGTGTCACTGTGATTATGCATTTATGATAGTTTTTTTTTCCTTCTTCTTCTTTTTTTCCCCGCTCATCCCCGTGTGTCATTCTTTTGTCGTTTCTGTTCTTACATTGGGAGGTTGGCGATCCTTTTGTGAATTTCCATTTTCCTTTTATTTACTTTTTTTATATACTTGCAAAGCAACCAAAAATGGAAATCCTTAGTCAGCAATGATCGGCCGCCTTCACCTCCAAGTCCAAGTGGCTACTACTTCAAGTTACCTCGACTACCTTACTACACCTCCCATCTTAATTCCCAGCATGGCTGTATCAGCCTTTCCCTCGGCGGGAGACTCCCCAGATATCACTCTCCTCAATGCCGCCCGTCTTTTCACCCGCCTGGAGTATAACCTCCTCTCACCAGCGGCGGAGCTCCGCAACCTACGCAAGTCCGAGTACCAGCGCTTGCGAGTGACAAAGGTAAGAAACGAAGCCAAACTTGACTGCAGTCGCGTAGAGCACAGTCAAATAGAGCGGTCCCATCAGGAATATTGAAGCTAAATGGTATTCTACAGAACGTTGAATATGCGCGGACCCTCCTCACCCAGCTCGAGCGCTCGCTCCCACAATTAAAACAACCAGACCGCAGGCATGAAGCGCAGGCGGAAATCGCTCGCGATAGGCAGCTCTTGAAGAGGATGCAGACTGTTCTCGACGAGGAAGAGGCGGATGCCCGCGCAGACGAGAATGGGGATGACGTTGAGGATGAGGATGAGGAAGATGATGAGTGGAAAGAGCTGTTCTCTAAGCCGATTGTGGAGAAGAGGGTCGTTTCTTCGACGCCGGATGTCAATGGTACGAAGTCGGCAGCTCTCTTCACTGAGACAGCTGCAGCCGTGGCTACACCTACCTCCATCCCAACATCTACGTCCACGTCTACGCCTACACCTACACCTACACCTACGCCATCAGAACAACCCCACACCCTCCGCAATAGACACGCCCCAACCACCGCACCCAAAGAATCCTCCGCGAAAACAACAGGAAGCAGCACAACCCCAGCAGACTCCAAGATCGCAGCCGAAAAGGCCCTCGACGACGACCGCTCCGAACAAGAAGACCTAACCAGCTCACTAGTCGCAATGGCCAGCCAACTAAAGTCCCAATCGCAGTCATTCCAGGAAACGCTGGACAACGAGAAGGATGCGCTGGATCGAGCTTCGTTGGGCATGGATAAGACTTCGTCGACGATGGAGGCGGCGGGGAGGAGGATGAGCATGTTGACGCGGATGTCGGAAGGGAAGGGGTGGTGGGGGAGGATGATGCTTTATGCCTGGATCTTTGGGTTGTGGATTGTTGCGATTTTGATCGTTTATGTCGGGCCTAAGTTGAGGTTCTGAGTGAAGTGAAGTAAAGCGAAGTGTTGTTTTTAATCTAAGATACCCTGGACATCTGCATCTTTTTGGAAACATGAACTATCCCAGCCATGTGCCTGTGCATGAATTTGGCGTCTAACCTTGATACGAGTATGACAAGGGTAGTGTATTGCACATAGAGCCCAGGTACCTAGCGACCGAGCATAAACTCAACACTTAGTATCATACTAGTGGCTACCACTACATCATAATCATATAAAGTCGGAAACCCGATAATTGAATTCCTGTCTGACTATAACCCAACGACCGAGGCATGACACATGAGAAGAGACATGATAATTCCGTGTATCCTGTCATTTCCCCGTGCCCATTGCCCGGCTGGTCGCTCGAGGCTTCCAACGGACGCGAGACCAAGGAAACGATGGGGGAGACGGTATGTTTACATACATAAAAACAACAAAAAAGATAATAGGGTAGGGTGACAACCACAAGAGAGATGATAGGATATCCAGCATTCAAATCAGACACAAGGGGAAAAAAGGAAAAGTGAAAAAGGAAATAAGAGATGGTTCACAGAGGGGGAAAAAAAGAAAATGGGTCAGGGCTCTCGACATCGATTAAACGCGGGAGCCATGATCAGAAAGAAGTTTCCTGTTTCGTGTCATCGAGAACAGGAGGAAAAAGAAAAAGGGCAAAGAAAAAAAAAGGAACCGGCTAGAGATCGTGTCAGGAAAAGGCGAGCGCAATTAGAAAGGACACATGGAAGAAGAAAATGAAACAGAGGAGGAAATGTTCAACGCCGGAATTCTGGAACGAGGCTTTTGATCACAATCCCGGCGAGATCCGATTACAGCCGAAAGGAAAAACACATGCGATCTAGTTCAGCACACTGCGACACCCTGGGATTGGTAGTTCATTAGATCAAACCGCAGAGTCGGAGGTTCTCTTGGATGATGATATCTAAGAAGAGAATTAGTCTTGTAATTTTCATTTTGATTTTGAGGAAAGATTGTAGGGGTTGAAGACTTACCGTTGACAGCGGCCATGACGAAGCGAATCTGGGTGGTGTCGGTGGCGCAGGTGAAGTGAGTGTAGATCTGTTTCTGCTCGGCCTGGTTCAAAGAGACGAATCGGTTGAGGATGTAGTCGCATGCAGCAGAGTAGTCGGCACCGCCCTCGTAGTCGGGGAAGTAGTTCTTCATCGGGCTGACGGGCAGCTTCTCCTTGAATCGATCGATCTTGTTGAGGAAGAGAATGATGGAGGTCTTGACGAACCAGCGGGAGTTGCAGATAGAGTCGAACAGGGTCAGGGCTTCTTGCATACGGTTGACGGTCTCGTCCTCGAACAGCAGCTGGTCATACTCGGAGATGGCGACCAGGAAAAGGATGGTGGTGACGTTCTCGAAGCAGTGGATCCACTTCTTTCGCTCTGATCGCTGGCCACCGACGTCGAACATGCGGTAGGTCAGATCACCAATGATGAAGGTGGTCTCGGTGATACCGGTGGTCTTAACACGGGAACGGAGGACATCCTGGTCGGTAGGGAGATAGTCGGGTTGGGCGATGCGATCAACGGCGTCGAAGTAGCTGTGAAGAGTTAGGGGTATGACCATTTCGCTTTTTTCGTCAAGAGTGTCGACTTACTATTTAGCAGAGTCGTTCAACTGGTACTCACGCGAGCGCTTGAAGCACTCCTGAACACCGGTGTCACGCCACAAGGCGCCGATGGCATTGCCAACCTCGGGAGGGATGCTGTCACCCTCGATCTGAGCGGGCTGCATGAAGATGGTCTGGACGTGATATTCGTTCCGCGCATCCTCCAGGGGCAGCTCGAGAGACTCCATGGCCTCAAGGATGACCCGCATCGACTGAACGGTGTTGCTGTAGATAATTTCTTTGAAGGATTCGCGTTCGTCGCGGGAGTAGCCACCCTCGTGGATGAGCTTCATCTGCTTCAGAATGGTAGACTTGCCCGACTCTCCGGCACCTATGTGATTTTTTGTTAGCTATTGCTCAAGACTGTCGGAGTTGCCTTGGATTCTGTCCGATTGAGGCGGGTCGAATCATACCAAGGAGCAGCATCTTGATCTCATTCCGTTGCATCATCTTGTCGCGCTTCAACTGGTTTTCGATCTCCTCGTTACGCGCCTTCCCCTCCTTATCCTCAGTACTCATACCACAACCCATGCTGGCGGTCTTGGCAGAAAGATGTGTTTGTAAATAGGGTGCGTGTGCGTGCGTGTAAGTTAACGATAGTACTGTGGGAGCCGGTGTAATTTGGTCAGGGCTCGGTCGATCACAGGGACTGGAAGCGTGCGCGAAGGGTCAGCGAAACTGATCGAGGGGAAAAAACGTGAGACCTCGAGAGGAAGAGCAAATGAAAGTATTGACAGTCTTCGGGAACTTGGCGAAGGTGGTACAAGCCGCAGAAAACCCAACGTTTCAGGATGGAAAGATATCGACGCAAGGGTGAAACCAAAAAGGGTCGGAGCACGAGAAGAGAGGGAGTTGATGAGAAAGGAAAGGGAATTGAGATTGACGCACCTTGACAGAAAACCCGAGGCTCAAAGGAAAGGAGCGATGGATGGGTAAGAGTGATATCCAAAAGGGAAAAAAAGGAACAGAGTCGCCGGGAACCAGCTGAGAGAGAAGGAGTGGTTAAAGGTGTAAGGGGGGGGGAGGGGAGTTTGGGGGAAATGAAGTTTCTTAGCAAAGAAAGGGGATACGCTTGTAATACGGCCGTGTTATAGGGGGTTTAGGGGATAGTTGGTAAGGAACTCTGTCGATGTGACGCTGTCCTGACGGTATTATTCAGCGTAGGCGATTTTGGCATCACCGTCCCATTGGGCGACTGTGATTGGCTGATTATGGGTGGAGTGGTATCGACCAACAGCCAATCACCGCCAGTTACAGGGAGCCCCTTTTACGGTCTCTTTGTATACGGAGTACCCTAAGGTACACAACTCTTTCACTTATTCGGCTATCATCCGACAAAGATGCATCAATGAGTACTTTGAACATGGTAAGAGGTCTGGATTGAAGATTTCTATCATACTGTCTCACTCTCCTCATCCATTATAATCCATCCATCATCTACTCCATATTCATTCACTTCTTTACGGAGTACACATTCAGGAGGATCTACATGTGGGGACTAAACACACTAATGGTTATTGTCCGACGACCGTCTCCATTTTTGAGGGCATGAGACGGGGGTGCTCGAGTCCCTGGAACTTTTCTCTCCTTACCCAAGCCCGCCTACCAGTGATGGATACTCTGTACCCCCGTACTATCATCTATTCTTGTATTCTCGGACCACCCAAGCTGACCGTTATGTAGGGATTCTCATCAAACTTGCTTTTTATTTTCTCTTTTTTTAGCTGTACCAGCCCGACTGAACAGAAACTGCGGCTGCTTCAGCCTGGAACACCCCCAAATCCTAGTCAATATCTGACCGTCACACCTGAATCAGCAGTCTGGCCTGGGATCGCTCCCGTCCCTATACAATGGGACTCATAACACCCCCACAGGGTGGCGTCAGGTCGGCCGTTGCAAAACCTGTTGCTCCATCACTCTCTCCACCGCTGTAGTTAAGCCCTGTATCTATACGGAGTAGGATGTACATACTCCGTAACTAGTCGCTAGTATGTATCCATTACGGAGTATTTATTGTAGACTCCGTACCAATTTACTAAGTATGTCAATGCATACTCTGTACCTACTTCTACATACATCTCGGTACCGTGCCGATCCGTCGGGGGCACGCAAGACAAGGCCCTTTGATCCCCGTGGATCGGCTTCCTGCACGGGTTTTCAAAGCAAAGCAGGTCAGATGAGGGTGAACGACATGCAACTTTCGTACGGAGTCATATTCCCTGTCCTCCAAACAAGAGAATGGCGCACATGGGTCTCACATGGCCCGCCCCTGAGCTCATGGAATTTCTGGAATTTCTATCGCTGGGGCACGCTATCGGGGTTTGACCCACTATCTAGTGCTTCTAGCTCTTCATTTGCCGCGCGCCACCCCTCCCCCTGGGTCTCCTTTTCTTCAAGTTGCAGAGTATTGCATGAGGAAGGGGTGTACGAAGGCCTAAACCAAACTTGCGACCTACCTACTGCCCCTTCGTCCGGGCTTGAATACTCTGGTATGGAGTAGGTCTCAACTTGCATACGGAAGGTGTTGACCGGCTCTCCTTTGTACTATCGCGTAATCTGTAATTTGAGATTCGCCGGGCGGGCCAATCCATCATGCTCAGGCGTGCATGGCAGCTTTCTCATCTGTTCATACATAGTCCCATCACATCATGACGCCTTATCTATCGGATTTATCTATGAACCAACTGCCGCGACACACCATACCAATTACCTGAAGCGGTGTCGCATCCAGGTTCTCGGAGCAATCTTTTCTCATGAAGCTTAAATTGAGGGTTTCTATTATCTTTTTATTCGCATGTCAAACGACTTTATTGGTCACGAATGCAGTGTGGACAATTGTGCTCCTTCTCCAATCCTACTACTGGTAGCACTTGAATAGCTTGTACCACAACGGCACGGGCTGATCGTCACTCCGCGGAAGTCCAAGGCTCAAGTAGCTAATCACTTCATGCACCCCAGAGCTTAATAGTCCCCACCTGTGGATATGGTCATGGTTCTACAATGTATCTAGCCTATTCCACGAAAACCGCCACTTCCTATTCCTGACCAATGTGAGGGACATAGTACTAGTACTGGTGTTGAATGTTTCTTGCAGATTTTGGCTATCACCGATGCCTAGGTATGTCACAAAAACTTGAAAAAAAAAAATCGGCGCTATAAGCTGAATCTTCAATTCGAAGGACTTGTCGGAACTTACCATAGCTTATGCATCGATTCCAAGAATTTGATCTCAAAGGTCACAGGTCAGACTCAGGCTTCAAGTTGGATAATCGAATCCAACGATATTGGCATGAGACTCCGAGTCAGGGCTGATTGGAGGGGGATTGAGCTTGGCAGGTGTTTTGGATAATTAATATGTACTATCTCGCTGCTGAAAAGTTCGACTCCGCATCTCTGAATATTTTGGAGTGAACCCTGGAAGGCTCCCGAGGTCTCGATGTGGTGATCAATGGATACATATCGGCTGCAAGAATGGTGCTGAGGAATTTCAACGATCCGAAATATTGAATGATTGAACTAACCTGAACTGAATACCAATCTAAACGATCCGAGTCTTTTGTAGAAAATCTTGGGCTTTTGGGATTTGATAGTATGCATTACGATACATTGAGGACAAATATGGCTAGTGTTGATAGTCTATATTTTCGCTAGCTAATACTAGTATACATATCGATGTCAGTCTATTTCTCTGGGAAAGTGGTCTGGAACCTGAATAATCACCAGACCAGGTGTATCTTACGCTTCTCGTTTCAAGACTTCTGTGGTTCCTGGAGCACCGACAGTGTATACCCAGGTAACTTCGGACTAGCGCTTTGATGTAGCCTGCGAGAACTTGAACTGATTGTCTCTCGGATCTTTATTCCGGTGAATGAAAATCTTATTGAGATCCAATAAGGCCATGGGTGGTTCTGTGACTACTGTATAAGCCCGCTGGATGTGTACTGTATGGAGTACTCCGTACGGAATGAATCGATCACCCTAGGTACAAAGTATCGGCCCCACCGGTTCAATAGCGTAGTGACTAGGTTTGGCTGCCATGCTTTTAGGCGTGAACGGACCAAGGAAGCGAGATTTAATGGTTCTTCTTGATAAACTATTAGATGCCATACAAGCTAGTCTTCTGGATTTTTAATTACAAGTTGAAGCTGTCGTCGATCCATGCCATGGTAGGTCATTGCGGAGTACAACCCCATCCCTACGGAGTACTCCTACTGTATCTCCCATCTGTTGCTCCATAGATTGATCAGTTTGAAATCACTTATACAAAGTAACGTAAATAAATACAGTACTCTGTACAGAATAATGTGATATGTGGCCAATCTCTGTGCCGCATCGGATCCATGGAACGCCCGATCGGATTCTCATTTTTCGGGTCCCGCCTGGGAGGTACCACTAGTTCCAGTAGGTCCCAGTAGGGTAGGGTCTAGTCCCTGGTTGGATTTCAAGGTTTGATTCGCCCTTCTCCACCTTCACTCTCCCTCGCAGGTCCAACTCGAACTTAACTTCCTCATTGATCCCCCTCACCATGTCACACGAAATGTCCCACCTGGGCTCGCGGGGTAAGTGTCGTCGCACCAATCCCATCCTGAAACAATACTCAATCTAACTCCTACTAGCCTTCAACCACGACCAGAGCGGTGACTCCGAGGCCGAGTACGATCGCCTCCGCGATCTCGCACGCCAGGAGGCCTCCAAGCGCGGCGAATGCTTTCACCGGGTATGCTATACGTCCTCCTGATTCTTCTGATCCTTCTCCCTATCTATCCTTCTCCACGCGATCGCCTTGCGACCCTCTAGCCCCACTGGCGCAATCCTTCCTAACTCCGCCCATCTACGTCTAGTCCAAGGAAGCCTACTCGAGCGGCGATGGCGCCGGCGCCAAACAGCTTTCGGAGGAGGGCAAGGCCCACGGCCGGAAGATGGAGCAATACAATAAGCAAGCCTCCGAGTATATTTTCCGCGAGAACAACGCCAATGGCCGTGTAGCGGCCGACACGATCGATCTGCACGGCCAGTTCGTCGAGGAGGCGGAAGAGATCCTGGAAGAGCGCATTAAGTATGCCAAGTCCCACGGGCAAAGCCACCTCCATGTGTACGTTTGCACCCCTCCCTATCCCTTTCCTGGAGCCATGCATGTCTTTGCGACAAACCTGCTACCGAGGGATAAAAGAAAAGAAAAGAAAGCTACTAATACGAAGATACCCTCCAGCATCGTCGGCAAGGGCAACCACTCCGCTGGCCATGTCCAGAAGATCAAGCCTCGCGTCGAGCAAGTCTGCCAGGAACTCGGCTTGAAATATGCCACCGAGGACAATGCGGGCCGGATCTACGTCAACCTGACCGGTGGCGAGGCAGTCATGCCCGACTATCCTTCGCACCAGGCACCACACCAGGGCGGCTCATACGGCGGGTACCCCGGCCAGCAGCAGGGCCATCAACAGCAGGGTCACCAACAGCACCAGCAACAACAACAGCCGCAACAGCAGGACGAGGTGGAAAAGATTGTCAATGCGCTGTTGCCCAAGGTTATGCGCAAGCTGGAGAAGGCATGCTGTGTGGTGATGTAATTATGTATGAGGTCTCTTTCGTTTTTTTCTCGTCTGGGATTTCTGCTGGTGTTTTTCTTCGCTTTATACAGATGCATGGTACGCGCGAGTATGCGATCATGGTGATTTGCTCTGATATCTATGGCTAGAAATTTACGACTCGTGATGAATGGATACCTAGGTATTTATGCCTGTTTCTACGAGATGATACTTAATGTTTCAAATATACTTGGATTGAAAAGTACTATGGAGAGTACTAAGTACCTATTACCTAGGTAGTAGGTAGGTAATTAGTAAACAGAGTGGTCTTCCTAGCAACACTCCTGCTTCCTCACTTTTCTCCTTTCACTACTATCCATCCTCCCAGCGCATACTTTCAGCTTTATACGAGTTACGGACGAGTTTCTATCGAAGTACCTACTCATGTCATACTCTGAACCTTTTAAGTTCCGACTTTCAGTTACTTCCACTACGCTTGAAGACTGCCATACATATTTTCGAGACCATCGTTCTCTCTCAACCGACTGTAGCATGGCACTGCGCGTCCAATGTCGCGATTGTCGCTCCGGATATTGCGAATCCAGATATGGCAAGATGTTCAACCTTATCATCGTCACTATCTCTACCCGATCAACTGGCACCAAGCAGCAGCGATCCCTCCGAAACAGATGACGTCCAGGGCGCGCCTGGTATTTCATTGATTTTTATACCAAAATCATGCTGGGTTCCCATGAGTCCTGATATTTATTTTCATCAAACCTATGGTCGGGCATGGAGTTGTTCTAATCAGTATTCGGACCACCCCAATAGTTACTTCCACTACGCCATCATTTCACTTTCAGTTACATCCATCATCCCCGCCGAAATTTCGTTCACATCAAACTCGAACATCCACAATGGAATTTCTTGATCCTGAACTGGAAAATGTTAATAAAGACTGTTTTAGTCTTGACTTTTCACCAGAAGCAATCGACTCATCTCTGCGTACACCTCTTGTTTCGCAGAAATACGGGGTTTGTAAATATAGTACACAGTATCTCAAGTTTACGAATGTTCCCGCATCGGTCTCCTCAGTGGATGTCACGAAAGCCTGCAATCAGTTCTTCGACGATTTCTCACGGACTCTTATTATAACCATCACCGGGCGTGCCCATGAAACTGCAAAGGCAATCTTCAGTGTAGAATCCCACATCACACAGAATCTTGCGGGTCTTGAAGACCAAGTCTGCACCGGTCGATCTCGTATTCAAGGGGTTTCTGGCTAAAAAGAGCCTGATTCATCGTGGATGTCAGAAAATACTGCTCTAGACCCCAATTCCTGGCAGTTGTGTTTGAGGTTGCCTTCTCGGAATCGCCCACGAAACTCCATCAAGAGGCCATATGGTGGTTGGCCAACTCACAAGGACGACTGGATTTAGTTATTACAATGCGTATCCATGAACAAGTCGCCAGAATTACCTTTGAGACTCACGTTCTCACCCAACCTCCAAAGGGAGATCTCTTCGCAATTGTCCCCGCTTTCAGAGAGATATTCGGCAGCAAGTAGTGGTTTCACGACCACCAGGAGGAGCAGGCATGCCTATCGTTTGTATTCCAAACGAGCCTCTCCGTATCTCGTGTCAGGAACTTCTGCACCGAGATCCGATTCTACCGGAAACCGACCCCAACATTCCAGTTGCTACCCTGGAAAAAATTGCGCGACAACGCTATTTGTCTCAAATACTCATCTGTCTTTGTACTTTCTCATATGTTCTTCCCTCTCTGTACCTAGGTAGTGAAGGTGATTCCGGATGGAACCAACATCCACAACTCCAGGATCTACTAGTACCGCATCGGATACCTATTCTGGCTTTAAGGCTATATCATTAGTTACTGAGATACTAGTAGTAAATAATGGTATATGCCTAGGTACTCAGTTAGCTACTCGTCGGTGAGATAGTAGCGATGGCCTCCTACTGTCACCTCCCTGTAGTAATACACATATAGCACCTTTCCTTTGAATAGACAGCCTGAGGATAAGGTGTTGACATGGCCAGAGGGAGTGTCTACTTGCTTAGTAGTGACCCACAGGTTCTTGGATTTAGTATGCATTTCCCATTCCCACCTGGGCATACAAATTTAGATACACTACTTTATCTGATGTAGGAGGTAAACAGACAAATAGATAGAAGATAACCGAAATATTGGGATTTCTATTAACAAGAATTGAACTGATTGGGGTGAGAAGAGAAGTCACCTTGGACAGGATGTGAATCAAGAACGAACGCTTTTGGCCGCCTTTACAAAGGCACGGATCTTGTCCAGATCTTGTGATCCATTAGTTTCAACCCCAGAGCTGACGTCCAGCCCCACCACCTTAGATCCCGCCTTACCGAGCTTTGTAACAGCATCGACGACGTTTTCGGGGTTCAGACCACCCGCAAGAATGACTCGCAAACCTTCATCGCTTTCAAGGGTCTTTTGGACACCTGCCTCTTCCAAAAGTTGTCCAGATCCACCAGCACCGGAGTCCAACAACGGAAGTGTGTGATAGGCACGGCGCGCAATTCCAATATCGCCCGGCGCAAATTTGCGAATCACAGGCACAGGAATCAAACTTGCCCATTCCAATGGTTCTGAGCCGTGGAGTTGAACAATATCAAGTCCCAATTTTTGTTGTTGTGAAAGCACATATGACAGCGGCTGGTTCATGAACACACCGACAAGCTGGGCACGAGAGGGATGACGCAGCACGTTAATCGAGTTTTCAAACCAATCCGTGGAAGTTGCCTTCGAGGTAGGCTCTGACCTGAGCACCGGTCGAGGTGTAGACTTGACAACTTGCGAGATACGTAGAGCAACGTCATCTGGTACCAGTCTTGACCTGCCCTGGACCATGATGATACCGATCAGATCAGCGCCAGCTTCAATGGCAGCCTTAGCGGCCTCCTCAGATCGGGTACCACAGATCTTGACCAATGGCGAGCTTGATGAAGCGGAGCTCTTGTCAGTGGATCCTCCAAGAAGTTGTGCAACAAAAGCGGCTGTGTCTGAAGCCCGCATCAGAGCTTCGCCGACCAGGATGGCCTTGACACCTTCACTCTTATATGCCTCCACATCGTTCGGGCCCGTGATACCACTCAGAGCGCACACAATGGTGCTTTCCGGGACTTGATCCATCAGACGACTTGTGGTACCGAGATCGACTTCAAAGCTGGTCAAATCCCGGTTGTTGACTCCGATCACTTGAGAACCGAGGTCGACTGCAATCTTCATCTCCTCGGGGGTGTTGACTTCGACAAGAGGCTCCATTCCCAAGCTGCGAGAGTAGTTGTACAGGCGTGTGAGAAGTTCAGTGCTAAGCATCTTCACGATCAACAGAACAGTGTCAGCGCCGGCAAGACGCGCCTCCAGAATTTGGTATTCATCAAAGACAAATTCCTTGCGCAGGATAGCCGGTCGGTTAGTGAATCCCTCCAAGCTCTGGCGAACTGCCCGAAGATCATCAATAGTACCCTTGAACCACTCAGGTTCGGTCAAAACGGAGATAACACTGGCGCCAGCTTTAGCATAGTCGCGTGCTTGAGCGGGGGCGCACACGTCTGCGGAGATGATGCCCTTCGAGGGAGATGCTCGCTTGATCTCCGCCATCAGAGACAGAGGATAGTCGGATTGTCTCAAACGGTCAGGGAACGAAATCTGCGGCGGCGCAATGTTCAGGTCGTAAGCAGCCTGAAGAGCTTCGGGGCGTGATGCATGGATTTTCTTCTGCTCATCAACGGCGTTTCTACGATGAGCATAGATCTTATCAAGAACGGAGAGCTTTTTGTCTGCGGAAGCAGCGGGCTTAGATGTGTCCTGGGCCGGAGTCGCTGCACCCTTGTTGTTCCCAGCCCAAGTACCCGAGGTGAGCTTGAGGAAGTTCTTGAACATTGTTCGCCCATACTCAGTCAGGATACTTTCCGGGTGGAATTGAACGCCCTCCACCGCAAGTTCCTTGTGACGGACACCCTGGATGACACTCTTACCGCTGCCGTTCTCGAGATCAGCCCACGATGAGACCTCCAAACAATCCGGAATAGTCGAATGAGTTCCGGCTAACGAGTGGTAACGAGTTACGGAGAGGACAGTCGGCAATCCCTCATAAACTCCCTTGGCATCATGCTTCAACACCGATGTCTTGCCGTGGAGGATCTCACCCGTAACATCGACCTTGCCTCCGAAGGATTGGATAATACATTGCTGACCCATGCATACACCAAAAATAGGAATCTTTCCGCTGAAGTGCTTAATCGCAGCATTGCTAATTCCTGCATCGGTCGAGGGGTGTCCAGGTCCGGGGCTGATCACTAGCTGGGTAGGGTTCTTCGCAACCAAATCCTCCACAGTGGTTTCGTCGTTGCGAATGACTGTTACTGTGGCACCCTCGAGAACCAGATATTGGTAGACATTCCAGGTAAATGAGTCGTAGTTGTCGATCAGAATAACATTGGAAGCGCTGTTCAGGCGGGCAACCTTGGTGGGATGGTGGGGTGAATGGTCGACGAGATCCGCCATGGTGGCTGTAGGTGGTCGGGAAGGGAAGGGAGGAGATGGAGGTGGCAGATGAAGGGTAAGACACGAAGTGAAAGTGCCTCACAGCAGTGACCGTCGTAAATATCGTAATCAACAAAAGCAAAAAGAACCAAGCCCAACTGATTACTCGAGGTGACTCAAAAAGAGCCCGGTTGGGTTCGCAAAGCTTCACCGCCTGGCACTAGTCCCAGATAGGCAATGCGGATTGTTTGACTTCGCGCCGCGGTGAAAGATGTTTTTCTGCTGGAGCTCTCCGAAAGCTGTCTGAGCTATCATTGTGGTCCTGTTGTCGCCTTCTCGTTCTCACACATCCTCACTTCATCCTCTAGACTTATGATGATCTAATTGCCCTGCCAAATGGCTCCCATCCCGGAGGCCTATTTCCCGTCCCTGGACAAGTGCTTCTCCGGGGACGCTCAGCTCTTGTACGACCCTCACTGACCTTACTGGGTTGGCGTTTGATACTGATCCTTTGATAGGTCCTGGAAGAATGCATTTCTCTATACAAATGACGCCGAATGCCAGACCGACGATGCAGACAATGTCGCCGCCTTCCTTTCCCACCCCGACAGTACTCTGCAACTATCCCAGAGTCTGAGCCCTTTCTCCCGCCCTTCCGCGAAATCTAAGTCTGAATTCGAGTCCAAGACCGCCGCAATCCATGCCGAGACGAATTCGAAAAGTTCATTCGACCTGAAGGAGATTAAGGCGGATGCGCAATGGCTCAGTCAGACCGCCAATATCGACGAGATCACTGCTCTGCGCATCGCCATCCTCGAATGGCAGGATCGCCCGGCCGCACGTCTCACAGAAAAGTTCTCCAATGAGGAGGCTACGAGTCTGCAAAGTGCGGCGGGTGTCGACAACCTGCGCATTTCGGTTGCTGGTCCGAACCTAGCCAGTATCTTGAGGCAGACAGGCGGTGATGACGACACATCTCCCTTCGACACGGAAACAAACCGGCGCTTGCGACTACGCAATATTTACATCTCCGAACGCGGTCATACTTTAAAGACCTTCCGCAAGCTGCTGGTTCTATCCCTTCACGATCGTACAAGCGACTCACACAACTCTGATGGGCCTGGCACTGCGCGCAAGCTTGCGTTGTCCAAGCTAGGCGTGTCTTTGTTCAAAGACAAAGCATCTGGTGATGAATTGAAGCGATTTTTGGAAGAATGTATTGCTGGCATTCGAAGGCGCCTAAAGGACGTGGCCGCAGATGGCGGTTGGCTGGGTGCTTCTGAAAGTAACCAAGAAACAGAAGCGGCCTGGAAGACTACATTAGTCGAGGAGATTGTACATATCCTCCAGCTGATGTTTCATTCTCTTCATCAATCAACGGAAGTGCCCTGTGGAATCCTTGTGGAGTCCTGGCTGGAGCTCATGGCGGAGTATGACTTTCTGGAGTATTTGCAAGTGGTATGTGACAGCATTGATGGAAATTGAGGACCCTGAATACTAACTATGACTGCAGCCTTGCGAGCAGCCTAAGGAGCTGTTGTTGCCACTCCAATCTTTTGTGTCACTCACCACCTTGGCCTTTTTGAAAGTTTACTATGTGATTGAATCCATCATGGATGAGAACACACCCCCAGTCATCTCTTGTGGAAAGGATGCATACTTCCTCTCCAAAGAAAGGATACCTAGAATAACAGAGATCCTTCTCAACGCCTGCACGACGAAGATGGTCACTGCTAACCCAGCCGCATTCTCCTGGGGTTTGATACTTTACACTTTGCAACAATTAGCTTCTAGAGAGCAACAAGTTCGAGAGATGAAGCAACTGAATAATGCTGTGGAATCTTTCCAGGCGCGTACTGCAGGGCCGTCTGGGGGGTCTGAGCCGTCTCTTTATGAAGATTTGATTGACTGTGCTCGACCACCGCATATGAATGAGGAGCATGACCCTCTGCTTTATCTGACCTCCGATCAGGTCAGAGATTTGGCCTTCAGCACAATCATCACACTATCTGCCAAAGTGGGATCTATGTCAGCAATCGACGATGGTTTAACATATCGTTGGACACGTCTGGCTCTGCTTGATCTTGTTCGTGGGACGATCAAATACACCGACTACTCCCCGGAGATTGTGGAGGCTCTGCTGGCAATTCTCAGTGGTACATCAAATTCGTCGCCCTGCCCTTCAGAAGACTCGCTTAGTTCTGCCAGTGAACCAAAGTCGGTCTTTGCGAATTCAGACCTTATGAATGAAATCTTCCGCGTCTCACGTTCCAGATTTCCGTACGAAACAGTCCCATTTCTGAAGCTTTGCCGTGCACTCGTGAGTCCGCACCTGGTCAATGAGGATGGCCTACCCCGAATTGTCGAAGAACTTGAGAGTATCAGTACCTTCACGCAGGCAGTCACGCCAGACTTCCAGGGGTACGAGACGATTCGAGAAGATGAGAATGCCAACCTCGTGTCCCTGACACAAGCACTTCCAATGTTCGATTTTCTTTCTCACGGTCGTCTTCTCGGTAATGAGCCGAATAATGCTCTTGTGGTACACGGGTCCTCGGAGATTCCAGCCTCGGCCATTGGACAAGTTATCTCTGAGTCGAGACCAGCCGTGATTATGTGGCAACATGAGTATTCGTGTCTGAGCTACTTGGGAAGCTGGCTAGAAGAGTGGAGTGAGAGTGGCGGCGACACCTCTGGCTGGGATCCCGAGTGCGGTACCGAGATAATCGGTCTCCTAGCTGACCTTGTGGCTAGCTCACAAGATGTCCGCACTCATGACTCCCCAGGTACCAGCGCGAAGAGAATTTTGGAAATGGCAAGTGATGGGCTGTCGCGCCAAGGTGACATCATCTCAGTGGTATTGGATATTTTCGAGCGCAACCTACAAAATGTTGGTTCACGTGGTGGTGCTATGGAGGCATTAGATCTACTTATGGTCTGCATGCAATTCATCCAAGAGGTCCTTCATGTTCTTCCCAACAGGATCTGGCCATTTTTGAGCCGCAGCAGCTTCATCGGGTCAGACGGCAAAGGCGGAGTATTAGCTGCGATCATTTCGGCAGTGGAAATCCCCGCCGGGGAGTATCCATTCCTTCTCAGCTCCCTGCGCTTGTTCGAGGCCGCTGTCGATGATGCTGTCTCACGCGCAGTACTTCGTAAATGCCCTGGTAGTGTCTCGGGCAAATCGACAATCGCATCGGACTGGAGTGCTGGCATCCCCTCCCACGTTATGAGAACCATTTTGCTGAATTTCACTCGGACGATGGTCGAGATCTTTAACAGCAACGGTAACTGGAGATTCGACTTCCCTGAGCAACAGTTCAGAGTTAGCGCTGGTCTCGCCAAGGTTTTCGATCGTATCCTCTACTACGTCTACGGAATCAGTGATTCTACGAAACTCGAATCAAAAATCACTGGCGTGTTTTCTGAATCTGCAGTCTACATTTTGGATATGCTGCGGCCTCGTTCAGCCACTGACTTACCTTTTAACGCTATCTTCCGACTGATCACCGATGGTCTCCAAACCCCACCTACCCTTCACCTCCGTTATCTTGACCTGGTTGTTGACCAGGTCAGCTCCACTCTCAAGCTGAGTGATAGGCTTGTCCAGTCGGCACGACTTGCTGAGAAGCCCGCCTCACTCCTAGAGGAGCAATTGTTCAAGGCGACCCCGGTTTTGACCAAACTTTACGCTCTTAACGATGCCTACAAACTACCGGTCGTATCGTTGTTGGACACCCTGGTCACGAGCGCTTCTTCAAACTCCGACAAGGAACCTCCCTCTCTTGTTGGTCATCTTGGCGCAGAGTCAGCTTGTCTTTTCCTTGACGTGCTCGCCCAGCTCGATAAGTCTCTAAACGACAAGCCTCTACTTCTTGCGATCTGGCACTTGCTGTCGACCTTTGTCAGCAAACGTCAGCAATGGTTGGCCGTTTTCATTCTGACTGGCGCATCTCCTCGCCAAACTCTGAAGAAGACGGACAACGGTGGTCCAAAGATGAGAGGCGTGCCATTCTTACAAATTGCTCTTGATAAACTCGCCAATATCGAAAAGGAAGATCCTCAAGTGGCTTTGTCATTACTTCGGTTTGTTTCTCGAGCCCAGGACAACTGGCCATGGGCATCGCCTCACTTGCAAAAACACACAGAATTCTTCAACGGCATATTGCACTATGTTTCAAAGCTGAAAATTTCTGCTCTGCCTGTATCCGAGCAAATATTCGCGACGCACATTGCAGCCGTTGTTACAGATATCTGTGCTGTTTACCTCTTTCCATTCAAGGAGCTGATTAGGGGGGGCACCATCAGATAAGGCAACTCTCGAGCGAGGTCGGAAATTTTTCGCCGACATCATCCCCCTGGTGCAATGGCTATCTAAGGATGCCGTGGAGGTCTCGGCTTACAATGCTTCTTTGCACGCCAACTTGAATAAGAACTTCGAGAGGCGTTATCCTGGCTGCAAAATGACAGACTTCAAGAACTCGGCACTTCAGTTCCATACGCTGGGACGTGATTACTATTACAACCTGGGTATGGGACAACAGCTATTATCGTATGACTTTGCTTGGGCGGGAAACCGAAAGCAAGGCTTCTCTGAGGAGTTTGAGAGAGCCAACATCAACCTGTCCCTTGTTGAAGCGCAGATGGTAAGTTCTATCCAATTCTTTGGATTGGTTTGTAAAGCGTTGCTAACAATCTGTTGCAGAATCTTCTTAAAAGCTGGAAATACTTCGCCGTTGAGCATTGCCAAGACTTTATGAGAGCTGGCCAAATGGTACCGGTCTTGATGGCACAGGTAGCACAAAAATGCCTTGAAGCAAATAGTCGATCTGTCCCGCCAGAGGCCATCTTCGCGCGAATTCAGCAAATTCGAGTTGAGTTTGCCCAGGCACTGACTCAATGTCTGGTTGAGGAGGGAGCTAGAGGCGCTGAGGTGTTCCATTTACTCGAAGTGGTTTGGAAAGCCCTGCGTTCTCGTCACACAACCTACGAGGCAGCCCTCGTTGGTGATGACACGGAATACTACCGCTCCCTTCTCAATGTGCTCTTCTTAGCTCTTCAGTTCCACGTGGATGTACCCCGACTTCAGAATCAGCCAGAGGTCCTTACGAAGGCGGCTAAGGTCTCGTCCAACATTCCGGTCATTGTGGAGGTTGTCAAGACTGTTGTCGCACAAGGCTTCCGATCCTTGACCTCATACCTACACGACGAGCCGGATAAGTGTACGCCAAAGGATTTTGCGATCATCATTGCCATTCTCCAGACTTGTCTGCAAGTTAAGGACGCCGATAGACTCTTTGAGTATATCACATTCCACATCCAAGACAACGATACTGTCCGACACGCGACGACGCTCTTCTCCTGGGCAGATCAACTCTCGATCGCCGGTGACCCTGTCTACGGCGAGGTCAGTCTTTCGTTCCTTGTTAAGCTCTCCACTCTCCCCATGCTAGCGGAACACCTTGCCGTGGAGGGAGTCCTAGGCAAGCTATCGACTTGCCGTCTTACCAACATCCTCCAACAACCTAAGGGATTCGGACCTTTCGACCCTGTCTCTCGGCTGTACACTATCTGGACCGGTGGCTTCCTCCCGCTGTGCCTCAACCTCCTTTTCAACGTTGTTCGTGCCGCCCCCGAAGTATCGGCCTTCCTCAACCAATTCGAAGGCCAGCTCAACCGTGCCGCAGAAGCCTTTTCCCACGGCCACGCCACCCCGCAATCACAATGGATTAGTCTGAGCATGGCATCAGAGGCATACTCACTAGCCCTGATCTCCGTCGCTCTGGACCGCTTCCGTCAAGCCGGACCCAGCGCTGGTCTAGACCCACAGTCCATCCAAGAACTCAAGTGGGACAGATCACACGTCAAGGATGATATTGAAGAACTGCTGAGTCGCCGCCCGTACCTGCGTGGCCGCATCGTCGCCACTACCGAAAAGGAGGCCGAGATGTCGCGACAGCCGCCGCTGGACAAGAAGCGAGATGCTGAGAACCGACTGGAAGAAAAGATCGTGATTGAGTTGGAGGATGTGCTGGCCTGTCTGAATGGTGGTGAGGAATGATGATACTCATGTCTTTAATAGCCTTGTTTTTTCCTCCTTTCACTTGTTGTTTTTGCTATGTATTGCCTGGGCTGGGTTTGGGGTGTAGTCGATCAGTACATCAAGAATCAATAAGATTTATGCTGCATTCTAAAATTGACTCATTTGTCGTAATGTCTGGGCTATCTACTGCCTACCAATAACCACTAGCCCTATGTATTCGACGGCATGCTAGGTAATTTGATTGCACGCCGCCTTGTCCAAGTTTGTCGAAGAATGTTGCGAAGTTCCATATTCCCAAATTTGATCAGATGCTGTAAGCACCACGATGGGTGTGCACGTCTAGGGGTCCAGGGAGTGCCTGGTACCTAGTTTTCTCTAGCATTTTGCCAAAATAGATTTTCATGGGTCCTGATACCTATTTTCAGCAAACCCACAGGCTGGGCTGGGCTCAGTGAAAAAGAAAAACTATGGGAACTACGGATGCCACCCGTACATTGATGGATCCTCTTGACGACGACGTGGCATGCGACTTTGTTCTAGCGTCGGAAAAGTTGAGGCAGAGGTTTCCGCGGTCTGACAAGAGGGCCAGGGCCCGCTATGTGATGGAGCAGATTAGGAAGTTGAAACAAGGGAAGCTGAGGTTCTCCGAGTACGTTAGCAAGGGTCGAGAACTTGAGAATCAAGTACTCCCGGGCCAATTTGTCTGTTTTTCTCTCAGATGGGTGATGGGGTTGACGCACCCCGTAACTCAGAGAAATGTCTATCCGAAGGTCGTGAGGTGGGAGGAAAAGAAGACGTTGACCTTCGCTCGTGTAGTCGAAGCGTCTTCTAGACTCGGACCCTCCAGCTCCAGCGAAAGATAATCGAGATGAGAGCGATTGCTTTCAGTCTTGAACCATCTCACATTTTACTAGTAGCTTTCAAACAACCTTGGAACTGATGCATGACTCACATTCAAGGGAATTATTGCCCTAAAGAGCCCGGTGCATCGTGGATCCTACTGTTCCAGTTGGATCTCTGACAAAAATGGCAGAAATGGTGTGGGAAGCACAGGGACTCTAGTCCTTTTTCTCGAAGGCTTATCTGTCGTTGCTCCTATGTTCTTGTCTCTCCAGGATGTGCCGACATGTGTTCTGTTTTTCTCTCTCTGTTTCTCGCGCTCTGAGTTTATATCCTTATTTAATATAATACTCAGTATGCTGACCGACTTGTGTACAAGTTTCTTAGTAAATCAAAGCAAGGTGTTGCCCACTTGCCCCCAGGGATTTGACCGTTACGCGATCAAGCCACTCCGATGCCCAATATACGCTGGATGCATGAATCTACCCTAAATTCTCGTGCTTCCTATTACTCCCGCTTTACCATCAACTTTATCATCAACCTCAGTGATCCTTCGAATTCATACAAGATTGTGATTCTCGGTCAGCCATCTTTTTCTACCCTGTCGCTTACACTGTTACTCAACGGTTTGTCTTTCCACACTCGGTTACTTTACTACTAGTAGCAAAGCCTTCGCTAACTCGATCATCACTTGTTACTTATCCGAAGGCAAGATGGGCAAGACCTTTGAGAAAATCAGGCTTTGTTCGGTTGGCAAGCTCCAGGATGTAGACAAGATCCCCCAGTGGGTACGAGCCAATGGTGGCGACTACACGAAGAACGTTGACAGCAGAACAACACATCTTGTCACCACAAAAGAAGCTTACAAGCAAAATCTTGAAGTAGGTCAGTTTTCTCACCGATCTCTCACTTTGGATCAGCTTTTGAGCCTAAAGAATCACAGTCAAAGAGGCCAAGAGTTTGAAAAATGTCAAGATTGTGTCTTTTGACTGGCTTGAGGATTCCCTACTTTCTAAAACACGCCGGCCACTCAAGGAGACTCCGTATCTCTGGTCAAACCTCATATCGGGAACGAAAACGAATGAAACAAGCCCCCAGTCAGCGGTGTCAAAGTCGCCGAAAAGAATATGTAAATGAATGTGTTTCCCTCGGAAATCATATTTGCTAACTGTGTTGCGAATAGGGGATCCATTTCTTCCATCACCGAAAACGGGTACTAAGGGATCTAAGGGAACAAAGCGAGGTGTGTACAGTCTCATACGTTTCAAATCTTGTTGGGCCTTTCACTGAAATGAGACATTACCAGGCCGAGTCTATCAAGAACCCGACAATGGAGATCTCTGGAAAGCAACTCTCGTGCGATCTTGCAAAACCCCACGTCAACGAGAGAAGTACCAGCTGGCAGTATGACCCACTACGTCTTCGAAATATTCAAGTTGTAGCCAATTGACAAGTATACAGATCATGCAGTCATTTGCCAAACAACCCAGCTACAGCACGTACGCAAAGTACAGCCAGGTTGGCACGTCGAAAGTCCAGCTCCTCTTACCCGCGCAGAAGAACCTCTCCGCAGCGATGAAAGCCTTCGCTGAGTTCTTCAAAGAGAAAACAGGCAAGGAATGGCAGACTCGAGCCGATGGAAAGATGCCGCCGGCGAAATGTAGTGAGGATGGAGAGCCCCTACCTCCCCATGAGGGTTGGTACACGATGGAGATCCGCGGAAACCTTTTTACGGATTACCTGAAGAGCTACCGGGAGCCCAGTGACCTGAAGAATTTCGAGGTTCAGGATAAAGTCAATCCGTTGCCCGAACAGCCTACCAGCACCAGTGCGGAAAAGAGCCTAGACACCGAGGGACTTAGCGAGGGTCATGCTTTGCTGGAATCGCTCATATTGATGGAGTTTGGGTCATCTATTAGGGATGAGCCAGAGGGAAAGAGTACAGTAAAAGGGTCTTCTCAAATTGTTGCAGATGAGGTAGTTGAGAAGCCTCGATAAAAGGCCGACAATGCAGCCATCGGAGGGGAGGGGAGGCGAAGGGTGATTGAGTATTCCAAGGTTTGAAATCATGTTCCGGGAGTTTGGTGAGAAATCCGAGAGAGAAAATAACAAGCCGCGGCCAAAGAAAATAAGGCAATGTCAGTTTCATTTGGGATTATCATCGTGGGTATTGGAGGTGGGTTTACCATCATGGTAGTAAGGTAGGATTTATAAATGTAGTTCCAACCTACTGTTAAGTTAGTAGCTGAATACTATAACTACATTATGTATGAACTGAAAAGGTTGGAGAATTGCCACCACCAACCGATATCATTCTCAAAGGGTATTGATATGAAGATAAAATAAGAGTCTAAGTACATGAGTTGGCGAAATAGGAGCCTTTTAATAACCCTCAACACCGATGCGCCAGTTAATTGACCAATAAGTTGCCAAAAAAAAATCCCGTATGCCATATCTTTTCACGCCTGCAATCGACAACATGATGAACGTTCGTGGGCACTTCAAAGGTAATCCTTCTTCCTGCTAGTTCTTGTGTACTGTGTGAGTGCCCATTCAATGTCACCACTGGAGCCCTTCTCAAGAGTACCGCCCCGGATCTCGAAGAGTCGCATCGTCATGCGCGGTCCGACCTCAGCAAGCTCAACGTCCCGATATCCGGTCTTGACAAAGACATGGTGTCGCACCTCGATACTGTCTTCCTTGTTGACGAAGGTGACGACGCGGTTGCCAACCTTTCCGGTTTCACGAGGAGGGAAAAGGTTCTTTAGGATCTGAACGACACGGGTACCGAGCTTGGTGGTGAAGCCCTCGAAGACAAGGTGAGGGTAGCTCTCCGAGACGGTACCACGGGCGGAGTTGGGGATATCGGCGCGAAGAACAACGTTGTGGAGCGAGAAACTGGCAGTCGGGCCGTGGGGGAGATGGCAAACAGTCATGGCGGTAGGTGTACCACGGTGCTCGTGCAGAAGAATCATGTCGGTCAAGGAAGCGGAGGTTGCGCTTGAGACGAGGTCGGGAAGAACGAGGTTACCACGGTTGAGACGAATGGCAGTGGGGAGCAAGAGTCGAATCTCCTTGGCAAAAGCACCCAGACGAGCAGAAGGCGAGCGCGATGTGGTAACCAAAGGACGGGGGTCAATGACGCCGGACGTCAAGGCGTATTCGTCGTCAATATCCACCTCATCGTCCTGACCCTTTGACTCATCGTATTTGAAATCTTCCCGAAGAGACTTGTCGTTTGCGATTGTGGGGTCTAGAGGTTTTCCAGAGGCAAGAGAGGCCTTGAGCTGGGCTCGCTTCTCGGCGATAGAGGCATCGCGGAGGAGCAGAGCTCTCCGATAGAGATAATCACGGCGTTCGCGGGTTTGTCGGCGCTAATATAAAAGTCAGCATATGCAAAACAACTCAAAGCAAGCGAGTATATACATACCAACATGTTGCGAAAAGTGTGGGTGCAAGAATGTAGATGATCATCCAAAAGAAGTGAGGCGGGCAACTTTTTTTTCTTTGCAAACTCCGGGGCTGCACAAATGGAAGGTTCGGGCCACCGTAGTGGGATCCCACCGATAGAGAATCCGGATCGCAGATGCGGAGACGCTTTTTGTTCACCCAGACTTTTCGACTTTCTTTTGTCGGGCCTTTCTATGACAAAGAGCTGGACTTGACGTTAGTACCTTTCTTGCTTTCAACTTGTGTTCCTCACTAATTTCACCTGGACCTTTTTAGATTCCCGTTTCTTTGCCCCTCAGGCACCACACAGTCAGAGCGGGCCTTTAAGAATCACACTGGATGACCGGATTGTCCCCTACGCTCATTTGATTACGACTCGGAAATTTCATCTTGGTTTTAAGCGCATGTTTTTCTCACCTTGATCCCACGTTTTCTCTTGCCCCCTTCAATCTGGGCCAACCTTGACAACCTTCGTCTACCATGGATTCCTACCCCCAAGGCCTGGCCGAAGACTCTCAACTCGATGATCATAGTGCTGCTATTGGAAGAGCTCGACCACGTCGACACGATGACGAAGATGAAGGATCGGATATCCTAGAAGATGACGACTTGGAGAGCACTATCGGAGGTCCCGCCAACGGTAACCAGAAAAGCCAGGGATATGCGGAGGAAGAGAAGGAGCTCCCAGCTCATGCATGCGCGTGAGTATCTCGGAACAGTATGATGGATTTGTTTGTGCGCAGATTCTAACAGTTGATCTCTATCAGGTACTGTGGCATTCATAACCCTAGCAGTGTTGTGAAATGTCTTTCCTGCAACAAATGGTTCTGCAGCGCTCGCGGCAACACTTCCTCTTCTCACATCGTCAATCACCTTGTTCGCGCTCGCCACAAGGAAGTTCAACTTCACGCAGACTCTTCACTTGGTGATACTATCCTCGAATGTTACAACTGCGGTACCAAGAATGTTTTCTTGCTCGGCTTCATCCCCGCGAAATCAGACACGGTCGTCGTTCTTCTCTGCCGTCAGCCATGCGCAGCCATGCCTTCTTCTAAGGATATGAACTGGGATACGTCGCGCTGGCAGCCGCTCATTGAGGATCGCTCTTTCTTGCCCTGGCTTGTGGGTGCGCCCACTGATCAAGAACAACTCCGTGCTCGCCACCTCAGCCCTCAACTGATTGCAAAACTGGAGGAGATGTGGAAAGAGAATTCTTCAGCAACTCTGGATGATTTGGAGAAGGCTACAGCAGTTGATGATGAGCCCGCCCCGGTTCTCTTGCGTTATGATGATGCTTACCAGTATCAAAATATCTTCGGCCCTCTCGTCAAGATCGAGGCGGATTACGACCGCAAGCTCAAGGAATCCCAGTCTCAGGATGGCCTTATTGTTCGTTGGGATCTTGGTCTTAACAACAAGCATCTCGCTAGTTTTGTTCTTCCAAAACTTGAACTAGGAGATGTAAAGTTGGCAGTTGGTGATGAGATGCGCTTGAAGTACACGGGAGAATTGCGCTCCAAGTGGGAAGGCGTTGGCTACGTTATCAAAATTCCAAACAACCAGTCCGACGAAGTCACTATCGAATTGCGCTCCAAAGGCGATCACAAGTCTGTACCCACGGAGTGCACCCACAACTTCACCGCGGATTATGTCTGGAAATCAACTTCATTTGACCGCATGCAGCTCGCTATGAAGACATTTGCCGTCGATGAAATGAGTGTTTCGGGTTATATCTTTCACCGTCTCCTCGGTCACGAGGTTGCGGCTGCCCCAATGAAGACTCAAATTCCCAAGAAATTTAGCGTTCCTGGTCTCCCAGATCTGAACGGCAGTCAAATCAATGCCGTCAAGAGTGTGCTTCAGCGACCATTGAGTTTGATTCAGGGTCCACCCGGAACTGGTAAGACTGTCACTTCCGCCACGATTATCTACCATCTAGCCAAGATCAATGGTGGTACTGTGTTGGTGTGTGCTCCATCCAACGTCGCTGTGGACCAGCTTTGTGAGCGTATCCACCGCACCGGGTTGAAGACCGTGCGTGTGACTGCCAAGTCTCGAGAGGACGTGGAATCCCCTGTCGGATTCCTCTCTTTGCATGAGCAAGTTCGCTTGAACGACAGCAACATTGAATTGGTGAAACTCAACCAGCTGAAGTCAGAATTGGGCGAGCTTTCCAGCCAGGACGAAAAACGTTTGAAGCAGCTGACTCGCTCAGCAGAGCGGGAGATTTTGAACAACGCGGATGTCATCTGCTGTACTTGCGTTGGTGCAGGTGATCCTCGTCTTGCCAAGTTCAAATTCCGAACCGTTTTGATCGATGAGTCGACTCAATCCGCTGAGCCAGAATGCATGATTCCGCTAGTCCTGGGCTGTAAGCAAGTCGTTCTGGTTGGTGATCACCAACAGCTTGGTCCTGTGATCATGAACAAGAAGGCAGCCAAGGCTGGACTGAACCAATCTCTCTTTGAGCGTCTGGTCATCCTTGGTTGCTCGCCTATCCGACTGAATGTCCAGTATCGTATGCACCCGGGGCTTTCCGAATTCCCGTCGAACATGTTCTACGAGGGTTCTTTGCAGAATGGTATTACCGTCCATGATCGCCTTCGTCGTGATGTTGACTTCCCCTGGCCCATGATGGACAACCCTATGATGTTCTGGTCAAACCTGGGCAATGAGGAAATTTCGGCATCGGGAACCTCTTATCTTAACCGGACTGAGGCAACAAACGTCGAGAAGATTGTCACCCGCTTTTTCAAGGCAGGTGTGCAACCCAAGAGTATCGGTATCATTACTCCATACGAAGGTCAACGAAGCTACATCGTAAGCTCGATGCAGGCGAATGGGACATTCAAGAAAGAGAACTACAAGGAAATCGAAGCTGCATCAGTTGATGCATTCCAGGGCCGGGAGAAAGACTACATTATTCTTTCTTGCGTGCGCTCCAATGACCACCAGGGCATTGGTTTCTTGAGCGACCCCCGTCGTCTCAATGTCGCGCTGACTCGTGCCCGATACGGTTTGGTCATCCTGGGTAACCCGAAGGTGCTCTCCAAGCATCCTTTATGGAACAACCTCCTGCAACATTTCAAGGAGCAGCACTGCCTGGTAGAAGGACCTCTGTCAAACTTGCAAGAGTCATTGATTCAATTCAGCCGGCCAAAGCAGGCTTACCGCGGCCCCCCAGCGTTTCCAGATGCCGTTCAGCCAAGCCTCCAACACCAACAATGCTCCTGTGAATGGCCGCAATGGTCACCGCAACGAGTATCATGATTCTGGCTCTGTCGTCGGATATATCCCTGACGATGTTTCTTCTGTTCACGGTTCTACCCTAGGTGGAGTTGGCCTGCCTCCTTCTGGATATCCTCCGATGTTCCAGAACTTCGCCGACCAGTGGCCATCGCTATCGGGTCGTCGGGCCAATGGCGGCCGGGCCAAGGGTGCTCCAAGTGTTGCTGGGGAGTCGGTGGCTGCTACAGAATCCGATGTTACTGGAAGCATCGTCGATGGAAGGAGTGCTGACCAAGGCGGAGTGAGCCTAGCAGGTTTGAGCATCAATGATATGAGCAAGCAACCTAGCCTCAGCCAGTCCGATCGTCTGAAGCGCTACGTGGAATCCGGTGGACGCGAGCCCTATCGTGTCGGTGTTCCGGACAACGGTAGTATCTTCGGAGGCAGCTCCGCCAGCATTCGCGTCACTCGCCCGGGTGTTAATGTTCATGACGATGACGACGCCCGCAGTGTTTCTACCGCCTTTGCTAGCCAGGTTGGTGGCAACTATGACTGAATGAAGCCCTCCAACGCCACATCATGTCCGGGTACCTCCAACAGGCCCGCCCTCGCTTATCATCCTGGGGAAACAAGAATTTCCCACGAAATGTCAGCGTTACTTCCACCAGAGTCCTGCCCGTCCATTTCTTCCATGCCGACCTGGGCTCCAGATCAGTGAGGCCAAGAATGGTCCGCTACTCTTCGGGCAACCAAACTTCTATTGTCTTTCACTTGAGACCACTGTTTGTCGTCCGCTCAAGAGTATGGTACCCCTTGGTTCTTACCACATCACAATTATAGTCACCGTGTCAAGATATTATTCTACACGGCAATTAGTGAGCTGAAGGCGACTGGTATTGGTTATGAAACCTCGATTTATGACCCATGCTTCAACAAAAAAATGCCGGTTGCCAGCCCACCTTGAGTCCGGTAGCTAGTAGTTAGCAGGCGACTTTGTCAATTCTTTTGCCCCCCTCGGGCCCGATCCTTCCTAGCACTCTATGTTACACAGATAGCTAGTCATCGTCTTCATTCACAATCGAGGCCAGTATGCTTTTGCCTAATCCTTATCTCCCAGTATAACAACGGTTTGCATCATCTCAGCCCCGGTCCATTTAGTGGCAACTGGTATGATTGGCAGCCATAGATCTCTAACCCCTGCTAAGAAACCATTCTCCGAACCCGGTACGCCGAGTCCCCAAGTAGAGTCACAGGGAGATAACGTCACGCAAGCACCATATTGAGTTACACGGAGACCCCCATTGGCCCAAACGAGCAGAAAATTCCAAAGTCTCAACACAGCCAGGACTATTTTCTCCCTCTTGGCCCTGATCGTCACGCGAATCAGACATGCATAAGCGAACTCAATGTCTTCTAGAACCCTCATGCCACATTTCTGTACTTTCTTAATATAGTATTTGTGGTGGCCTAGAAACCTTGGAAATCTGCGGGGTGCCCAGCAGTGGCTGAGGATCAAAGGCCCCCTAAAAGAGTTAGTATGTCGGATGCTGTCCTCACTACTTGTCGATCCGCCCCCACCTGTCTTCTGTCGTCCACCGCACTGGAGATCTAGTTAGGGCTAGACTTTCCGCCCCGCTTCAGCATCAACGCCCAACTCAAATCAGCTTGGAGAATCCAGCATGGCAACAATGCCGCCCCGGAATTGGACAGTTGAGACAGGCTCATCGCTGATCTCCATCGGCTCTCACCGTCTATGGGTCTCTGTCTCTGGGCCACCGCGTAATAACCCGGAGGCTCCGCTGGTAGTCGTTATCGCAGGAGCTGGCGATGTCGCGTCTTCATACACAGCCCTCTCACCGCTGGTTTCTTCGTCATCTCGTATCCTGCTCTATGATCGCTCCGGTCTTGGCCGTAGTGAGTCGAGCCCTTGTCCTAGTACTAGTCCTACTAGTCCTACTCCTTCCTCGGATTCCCCGGATCACCATTCCCCACAGATATCACGATCGAGATCGCCGGCCGTTACGGCCGCAGAAGAACTACACAGCCTTCTTGAAACAATGCGGCTAGAGCCTCCGCTCGTTCTGCTTGCTCACTCATACGGGGCGATCATTGCGCGCGAGTATCTCCACCTCTACGACCGTGACGTCGCGGGACTGGTCCTTGCCGATGGCTCCACCGAGCGCCAGTGTGACTATTTGCGTCTCCCAGACCCCGATATCGATGCCGTATTGGGCGATCTCAGGGTGGCGCAGGTGACGGGGCTTCGGACAGAAGCGAGACTTTCGCGCGATGAGTGGAGGGAACGAGCGATTGATATTTCGCGCGGGGCTGTCGCTGCCCAGGTGGAGGCTAATTCCCATACGCTGAATGTAGTTTGTCGCACGCTTGGGGCTAAGAGACAGTTTCAGAATCGGGCGATGCGGGATCGGCCGGTGAGTGTGATTCGCTGTAGTATACAGGACTTTGAGCGCATCTACGAGGCGGGAATTGAGGCGGGCAATGGGACGATAGAACAGAGACAGGCGTTTCGAAGGCTGCTGGATCGATTGCCGGTGATTGACCAGGATGCTAAAGAAGAGCAGCTTCAGCTCTCGTCTAACACGCATCTTGTTTATCTGTCGGGGTGTGGCCACAATGTTCATTTGACACGCCCGGACGTGGTGGCGGCAGAAATCCAGTGGGTGCTGGAGCATATTGACCAGTGGCAGGGTCTCGAGCGGGACGAGCTGAAGCTTTGATGTTTTGGTTTGTGGGTACGGAGTACATGGGCCATCATGAGATTTTCCCTGACCTGGCCTTGCGTATCATGTCATGCCATGCAATGCTTTCGAGATCCTGGGCAAAGGCAAAACTATGAATCTGGTAGCCTAAGTTAAAGTAGTTTGTTTGAGACTAATCGGCATCCACACAGCAAAAAACATCTACGAAAGATTGCATCTTGAACGCTATGTTTAGATTGCATAGCCCTTGGGATTCGCAAGCCTTTGGTGCTGGCAATGGGTGGGTTTGTTTTAAATTCATAGGAGCCTAATTACTCGGGTGCCCAACCCTTACTCCATACTTTGTGCAGATGAATTTGCGCGCTTATTTTCTGCCTGAATTGCCTGCGTAGGGCTGTCACGTGCTGCATACACCGCCACGTCTGTCTGTAGGTACTCCGTACTTCACCGGTTCCAGATCTGCGGATTTGTCAGGCGTGTGTGGCGATCAATCGCCAGGTTTTTGGACCGGGAAATCCAAATGGCTGCCTGACTGTGACTGTCCCTGTTGGCCTGCTCTGCTGTGTTTACCCAAGATGCCATCCCGTCTGGCTAAGCCGCTAGATATGAGTCATGAGTCTTGATTGTTGCCACACTTCGTTCAGGCCGAGTGGAGGAATAAAAAGGAACAACACATCCTAGTTGCGCGTAGATCTGAGATTTTCAAGTTTAGCTCCTAGTTTATTGAAGAATCTGCTGCATCGTGCATATCTATACCCGGTTCCCTCAGCTTTGTCGGCAACTCCGCGCCACATCAGAAGCGCGCCACTCAGCCACATCCGGCTGCAAGCGGGTGGGTTAGTCAAGCCTATAAATAAGGGCATTAAGGCACCCCTTTCTTGCTACCTGAGAAAATTGGCCACTTCCATCACTTTCGATACCTCTTACCTACTTGCTTTTTTTTTCTTTATTTGAACCCATTCCCCTCTTCGATCTAGACTTCACTAGTCTTCTTTGACGACCACGATCCCCTCCTCACATCCACACACTCTCCCTATCTGTGTGACTTTCTCCCCAAGTCATCGGTTGACGCGTCTTGCCGGTATTCATCACTCTATCTACCCTCCGATCTGAGTGTGGAGTCCGCCATTTGGATATGGGAATAGACGCCTCTGACTACCCTAGTCCGCGAAGTGAAGCTCCGCACGCTGCGACCACTGCCTCGGTCCTTGCATCTGCCCACGCCCAAGAAGGCCTGTCGTCAATTGCCAGAATGAACGAACAACCTCCCACCTCCATTGCCGGTTACGTCGAGGGGACGCGCCCACGTCTCTCAGTGCGACGCGCCCGCGATCCCCCGAAGAACTCCGAAGGTCAAATCTTCTGCGACCATATTGATTGTCAGGAGGCCCCTCCAACATTCCGTCGTCCTTGCGAATGGAAGTAAGTACAATTGATAAAAAAAATTCCCCTCCTCTTGTCGCGCCCACCTTTCTTGCGACCGTACATCCACTAACCCCGACACCAGTAAACACATGGATAAACACGATCGCCCTTACAAATGCTTCGAGCCCGGCTGCGACAAGATTCAAGGCTTCACCTACTCCGGCGGTCTCCTTCGGCACCAGCGCGAAGTTCATAAGAAGAACACCGACGCTAAGAAGCCATTGATGTGCCCGTACGGCGATTGTAACCGCAGCACCGGGAATGGATTCACACGTCAGGAGAACCTTCGAGAACATCTTCGCCGCCGCCACATGCACACCGATGAGGGGCCCGCCATCATGCTCGACAGCCCATGGGATCGTGCCAACGAGCTTGAAGGAATCAGGTCTAATTCCCTCCCGGCTGCCGGTGTCAAGCGTAGGCATGAATCTCCCAATGGAGATCTGCCGGAGACCGACGAAGCCGGTCTCGACCTAGTCAACGAGGTGAAGCGACTGCGCCGCGAAAATCAAGAAAAGGATCAACGCCTCCTGGACCTTGAGCGCATCGTGCTTAGCCTACAGCAAGCACTCCCCCAGCCCCCCCGCCCCCGCACCTGAGCCCGAGTCTCAAACACTTTCACAGGCGATTTCTCCTGTTCCCCAGGCCGCCGCTTCTCAGGTTTAGCTCTGGTGGGAGTAATGTCTTTCCATAATGTTTTTTTCTTTCCTTTTTTCCATCTCCTTTCTTTTTTTTTTGCAGTTGCATTCCATGGGCGTTCACCGAAGCAAGAGATTAGTTTCTTGGATTCTTGCTTTTTCCCCCCTTTATTCTTGCTCCTCCATTCCCTGCATCTGGGTTCGGCTGTGAGGGCTGGTATTTGATTCATCAGCAAGTCGATACGGTACTATGGCGTTTTATTTGAGCTTGATCCCAGTTTTTTCAGTGGAGGTTGCTAGTCTTTGGGTGGCCTCATAACTATACCCCGGTCTACTGTTCAATGTTTTGCTTTATCAAACGATTCTCAATTCTTAACTTCTTTCTATATTTATAAACCAGTGATCAAGGTCTTCAACGACCTGTTCGCCTATGATCTTTCTGAATGAAGCCCTGTTGTACTATTATCTTGAATGATCAGCTCTCTATCGATTTCCATCTTATTTCCACACTCCACTCTCCACTCTCCAAGTTTTATGTATTTAAATAAATTAAAATCGACCTCCCCTCTCCAGCTTTTCGCCAGAAAAACCGCCCAGTCCGTAGCGCTCGTATACTTCGGCTATCATCAGGCCAAATCAGGCTCACAAGAATCCCCAGCCACACCCCGCTATGCGGAATCCAGGCAACCAACTTCAGGCACCCGGCCCCCATTCTTAGCCCCGACATATAACGGACGTATTTATCTCCGACCGCCGCCGAGGCATCTAGCCCCTACCATTAGCATCTAGCCTCATCCTCCCGGCCTCTGCTTCAGAGTTAGCCTCCTTCCTACGAGGCTACCAACCGGCAACCTTCGGATACGAATGACTCACGAACGGCAGCATGTGCCCGCTGACGAATGCGAGTCATTTCGGGGCCAAGGCGCGGTGTCAAGCGGGTTTAACGAGTTGTCCGCCTGTCATCAATAGTGGAACCTTGTGGAGATGGGGCGTTGGGTAAGTTAGGCTTGAGCTAGAGCTTTAGCAAAGAGTATGATGCGATGTGATGACGAGTGATTGTAGTGTATATTCCGAATACGGGAAGTGGGTTATACTGGATTTGGTCTCCGGTTGTGCTCGGACGGGCGGTGATCGTGTCATCGGAAAAGATGACTGTAGAAGAATGAGTCGAGGTGCTCCTATCTGTGAGGGGACGGTTTGTCAACTTTGCTATGGCCTTGTTCTACTTGGAGAGGTTGGAATACTAACTAGACCAGATGCTTCCGAGTCGGGTTACGCTGCTATCACTAGGATCGGATCACACTTCCACTATCTATCTGTGGCCTTTATATTGTGCCTGAGCTTTTTGGTAGTTAGGTATCTATGGTACGAGGTACTGCTACCGATTTATCTACACTGCGGAGAGCCTACTTGTACTAAGTGTCATTACTAGTAGCCTGAGGAGATAGGCAGTAGTAGTACTAGTGTGATATACCTAGCTACCCAGGTACTTGGTAATGGAAACTGCTATTTGATATAGTCCACGCCACACTCATGCTGAGCCCAGAGATATAAGTAGATAATTAAGGAAGACATAATATATACCCCTATATCCTCAAAATGAGTCTTAAGATCTAGTCCTCCGAATCTTACGATGTTGTGTTTCTGGCGTTCCTGAGATCTCCCGGATCTATAAGGCTGAAAACCCGTAGTTAGTGATGATGTAATATTGTCCCTGACCACCTCATTTTCACAACTCATCAACGAGGTCAAGTTCCCAAGAGATATAAAGTAAATAAAATTGAAATATACATCCGAAGGCAACTCAAAGGAAAACTTAAATGATACCACTAAAGACTTCAGCCTCGACATTGAACTTGGAGTGGATTATGGATGACGCTGAGATCCGAGATCTACGTGACTTACTAAGCGACCTAAATCTAACCTCCCCTCGTTGCCCGCTAGGGTCTTCCATCACACTGTCATCAAAGACTCATCGACCAGGGTTAAGGAGGGCCTGTATTTGCTAGACTCTGTGTAGAAGTTTCTAAGAGAGCCTCAGGCAGTACCACCGTGCCCGATTCGGCAGGCAATGGCTTGGTTTTGACAGATCGCTCCTTCCTCGTTTCACTCTATAGAGACCGTGCACGTGAGCCCCCCCAACTTGAACGAGTCAATGCAGTGATCCTATCTTATGTTCTTCACACTCGCTACATTTTTTATCTGAACTTCGCTCCACGGCAATTCTCCCGACATGCCTCTATCCAACGAGGTGCCCATGTCCAGGAGTGGGCAGGCCCATTATGTTCGCACTCAAGATTATAACACCTCGCCTCGGTTTGCCGGGTCAAATACATCAAACGGCACATTGGGTTTGACGGCGGCAATTGATTCCGAAGAGGACGATGGCACCGATGTCGTTGTCGTTGATCCCAAACTCTTCGATCCCAGCACTCACCATTTTGCAGAAGGTGATTTTATTTGCCCCGGGTTCTTCTCTCTCGCTAAACTTGATGGATTCACCCGACGCTTCAAGTTTTCGCAGTGGAACTATGACATGCGTCGCGAGCCTCAATTTATATTCCCATTTCTGGCCCTCGGCCCTTCTTCCTGTTTGCGCGACCAGGTATCCCTCCAAGCACATGGATTCACACTTCTCCTCGCCATTCGGAATACGCACTCCGCCCACGCCCGACTTGTTTCTGGTGACAAGGCCGCCGCAAATATAGGCATCCTGGCCGATACTATTGATGTCCTTGATAATCAAGAGCTTATATCGACGTTCCCAAGGGCGATCCGCCGCATCAACGACCATCTCGCGGGCGCGGATGTGCCTTCAACCGCGATTCCAAGCCTGAGAGATGACCCGTCTCGGATGCGGAAAGTCCTCGTCTTCTGCGAGTCTGGGAATGAACGTTCCGCTAGCGTGGTGATTGCGTACATCATGGCCATGCTCAATATGGACACATTGCCCGCAACACGGATGCTACAACAGCGGCGCTTTTGTATCTCGATTGATGATGCTATGACCCAAATCCTCCTTTCGTTTGAGTCTATCCTTGCTGCCAAGCGCGATGTCGAAAGAGCCCGACGCGCGAATATCCAAATAGGAGCCGCGACCCTCGCTCCTCCGCCTATACCCCCCCGTGATGCTTGCGAAGAAGCGAAGTTTTGCAGATCGACAATTTGAAGATACCCAAATGGCTGGTTGTGAGATGGATATTGATGATGAAGTTGGATCGCTCTTGGATCGCAAACCGATGGCACCTTTCCAGGACCGCGTAGCCTAGATATTTACAGTGGTTCTGCCTTCCTACAGAGGCTCGGCGTCACAGTGAACCTGATTTTAAAATTTTGTCTGGCGGAAATTGTCTTGGAACCTTTTTCGGCGCTCGTATCTGGATGCTAGACCGGAAATTGGTGTTAACCTTTTCTTTCGGTCCTTGTTCTTAAAGGTCTTTTACTACGTCCAACTTTGGCTAGTATGTGTTCCGTTTGCTTTTCACGGAAATGACCAGCTCGCTTCTCCTGTTTATTTACTATATGACCTGGTCCTGGCTCATCAACAATTTTTGAGAAGTAGATCTATATCCGCCGCCTATCCTGAATCGCCTATCCTGAATTCCACTTGAATACCTGCTGACTGCTTTGCGTACGAAACTAAAATAACTGAATCAATTGTAAATTCGATTCTGGTATTCTCCAGACATTTCAAGCTCATTGTTACCTAAGCCTAGCTGTCTGGACTTTCTCGACGGCCGGGCAAGGCCATGCTACTAGGTTACCCGTCACGGTCAACAACGCGGCATTACTCGACCCGAGTCGCGTTTCCACCGGTTTTTCTGTTGTCATCTCTTCCCATACTGTCTCTCTTTACTCAAGCCAAACTTACCCTGAGTGTGTGGCCCGCATTATCTTTCCCTACAGGGATATTGGGATATTCGAAATATCTCAATATTGTCATTCTTTTCAGTATCTTTTCATCTCTCAAGCTTGCTTCATCGCATCATCTTTCTCTTGTCACATACTACTACCAGGTCCTCACCCTCTCGCTACCGCACAGACCCACTCAGTGTATACCTACATTGTTTGAAGAAGCTGGACTTTCTTCGGCGCCGCCAGAAGACAACCAACTGTCATTACCGACTTCTTGTCAAAGTCAAACCTGACCACACAGCAGGAGTGAATTATTCAAACTGGAAGCCTCACTCTCTCCAGTCCATGGTGTGCCTATCATGAGCAGTGACAGGCAGCTCCGTTGTGCCATACGCGCCCCAGTGAGATATGGTGACTCTGGCACCGAGTCGCCAACTTCCGCCATATTGATGCCAATGCATTTGGCGCGAAAGCAATCAGCGTCCATTGATGCAACAGACCTAGTGCCAAAAATCCCAAATTCATCGTTTCGCAGGGTCAAAATCTTGCGCAAACCGGAAGTTATCGAGTTCGATCCTACATTGCCCCCTGTGGATTTCCCGACGTTGCCTGAGCCGTGGCCCAAAAGGCGAAAGATCTCCCAGAGCAGACCCGAAGCAGGTCAGTACTCACTCGCCGTTGACTGGTCCATGAGCAACGGTGAGTCCAACTCCATCTACACCAGCAATATGGCGGGAATGGGCGCCATGTTGGGAGAAAGAAAGGCATTTGACGTGACAGACAATCTGAGCATCTCTGACAGCGACGATGAGCCTATAGATGACCAAGAAGCCCTTGGTCGGAAAGTGAGTTTAACATTCCTCTTTTTCAACACCATTCGGGTTGCCGAACTTGAACGTTTCATGTGGATACTGACTGCGTTTTAATAGATCCTCAACCCAACTTGGAGCGACCTCAATCCGGCCATACAACTGCAAATCGTCTCCGGCCTCCTCAAGCACTACAACTGGGAGAATGCGTGCATAAAGCTCGACCTGAACAAAGAAGATCAAAATAAGCTGTCACATTATCAGATCACACGGGACCAACAAATTTCTCGGGAGGATCGAGCCCTGGCTACCATGCGGGAAAAGCAACTCGCCCATCTCATGAACATGGATCAAAGTGTTCTGAAACAAAGCCCTGTACCCCATCAGCTTGTCCTGAATAGACTTACCAAAATATCACGGGACTTCCATGAATCACTTACCAAGGTGGCCAAACCAGAACTTGAATTCTGCCGAGCTGACGATATACTGGCAGCTAGGCAGTTTCTCCGCAACCACCATCTCAATGAGAACCTCGCTGGCCAGTGGGGTAGCGCTTTTGTCGAACTAACTGATATGCCCCGTACCGAAAATCACAGCCTTCCAGAGAGATTCCAGTGGAAGGAGGATTGGACCATACCGGCATACAGCTTCATTAACCCCCCATGGACTGATTCAAGACTGTGCACCTGGCCTCTCATCTGATGATTTTCCCTCTTCTGCCGGAAATATGCGCTTCACGAATGGCTGCTACGACACGATTAACCCTCGAGATACTTTTCAGGGTGATCGTCATCCATATTCGTACTGGACAGAGCACACACCATTCTACCTACGAGATGAATTTCAGGACGCACGTATGAAGGTTCGGGAGCATATTCGACGCGAGATGTCATCGCCTCTTGTCGGTTCAGAATTCACTCGAATACAAGTTGGGCCGAGACAAGAAGCACGACTATCGCTCGGCTCCCGTGAACGGAAACTGAACAGCTCCCGTGACCTGTCATCAAAGAGAAGAGTGAGTTTGGCGGGAGCAAGAGAAATCCAGAAGGCTCATTTCCATCAGCCCCATGTGCCATTGCCTGGTCAAGACGACGAAACCCCATCCAAGCCGCCGAAAAAAGCGCCCAAGCCTTTTCAGATGTGTGATGAACCAGTGACTCGTTCTCTGGGTGGATGTTGGTATTTCAATGACGCCCACCCTTCTGTCTCCCAGTCCCGATACAAACGACAGATTGAAGAGGCCAGACTTGAGGCGGAGCAAAAGAAAATGAGGAACCTTGCCTGGCTAATGGAATACGAAACTTCGGGAACATATGGATCTTCAAGTCCCGCCCTAGATTTCTCTGATGAGGAATCATACAGCGGCAGCCAAGATGATTTATCTACCAAATTCATGCAGGACCTCCCTGGTCTGGACGAGACCTTTTTCGGCACCTATCCTCTTATCGAAACCGACTGGATGATGCCCTACTTACCGAGTGATTACTTTCCTAACGACACATTGTTCAATCCATACGTTGAGCAGGATCATATGATGCCCAGAGGGGACGTAGCTATCGGTGAAAACGATAAGAATGACAATCTGTACAATGAGAAGCATGTTTCGACGATGTGGCAAGGGCCGATGAATTTCTAAGCCATTTATGCCGAAAAAGTCAAGTGAAGTCAAGTGAAAAGATTTGAGGATCATTCGTGTATTGTTATGTTTTGTGTTATTTCAGTTGTATCAATAAAAGTTATCAAATAATGAATGGTAGATTATGTTTACTATCGCGCAGGGCCCTGAAGAATACTAAAAATGACGTACCGCATCGTCGATCTAAAGTTGGTCTGTGCACCGACGCGAAAATCCGCGTCGCACACGCGCCACCTCCTTGAGCACCGAGATCGACTCTACTTACGATTCTGCCGGAAGACTCGAGGATACTTGAGCTATTCGATCGTGTCCAATTTTTATCCTCGCGAAATCGATTTCTATACCCTTGGGGTTTGTCCGCTCGTTGAACCGGCAAAATCCTGATTTGGACGAGAATCCTCATCCCTGGGAATGACGTCCCATTACATCTTCAACTTGTGATATCCTGCGCACAGGGTATTCTTAACCTCCAATCCTCTTCGAAAGCACAGCAGCAATGGCGAACACCGGATCTCCGACGATTACTCCGACTGATTCCCGTGATGGCACCCTACAGCCCGAGTCCACCTTGCCCTCGTCCCCAATGACTGAACTCACAAATGGAGAGACAAAACCCGCTTCAGACAACGAGGGAAATGGTGGAAAGGATCAATCTCAATTGGCAGAGAATAAGGAGGAAGATGTTGAAGGCATGGACACCAAGGCTAAGGGTCTGATGCACTTGCTGCAGAGTAGTTCGGTACGCCGTCGAGAGACTATTCAGTTTCATTTCTTGTCACCACTTTCTAACAGACTGTCTTGCAAAGTTATTCGTCGCCCTTATGTCGGAGAAAATGAAAAAGCAGCAGGATGAGGCCCGACAACGAGCTATCAAACGTCAGCAGTCTGCCGCGAACGAGAAAGACAAGCCTGCACCCGAACCCGCGTCCGCAACCACGACTACCAACCGACGCGGCACCAGAAATCGAAAGTCAGGAACTGCAGTCGCAGAAGAGGCCCCCGCAGCAAATGATGTACCCGCACAGAAGAAAGGCCGTACTACAAGGAAGAGCGGTGGTGGCACTATCTCGAATTACTTTAAAAAGGCCGAGGTGGAGGTCAAGGAAGACAACCCGACTGTGCAGGAGGTGCTAGAGAATGCAGCTGATGAATACGAGTCAAAGCCGACTGCAATCGGCGAACAAGATCTGGTTGCGACACAACAACCAGCGCTGATCACGGGTGGCAAGATGCGAACATATCAACTCGAGGGCCTTGAGTGGCTGAAGACCTTATGGATGAACGGTCTTTCTGGTATTCTGGCCGACGAAATGGGACTCGGAAAGACAATCCAAGCCATCTCGATGATTGCTTTCCTGAAAGAGAATAATGTTTCCGGGCCCTTCTTGATCGCTGCCCCACTCAGCACCGTTAGCAACTGGGTAGATGAGTTCAAACGGTGGTGTCCCGGTATCAAAACGGTCCTATATCATGGATCTAAGGCCGAACGAGAAGCACTCCGCAGCAAGCATATGAAAATGCGCAACCAAGGAGATATGGAATTCCCCATTATTTGTACCTCTTACGAGATTTGTATGAACGATCGCAAATTCCTTGGACAGTATCAATGGAGGTACATCGTTGTGGTATGTTCTGACTGTCAATTGTGCAGAGGTCTCAGATTGCTAATCGAAGATATAGGACGAAGGGCATCGCCTGAAAAATATGAATTGCCGTCTTATCAAAGAACTCATGGCCTATCGATCTGCCAACCGGCTCTTAATTACGGGAACGCCATTGCAGAATAATATCTCCGAGCTTTGGTCATTGTTGCACTTCCTTCTACCGGAAGTTTTTGATGATCTAAATAGTTTCGAAAGTTGGTTCGACTTTTCATCCGTATTGGATGATAACGGCAGAGCGGAAATCCTCGAGCGTCGGAAACGCAATCTTGTCACAACAATGCATTCGATTCTGAAGCCTTTCCTTCTGCGGCGAATCAAGACAGATGTCGAAACTGATCTTCCAAAGAAGCGCGAGTACATTTTGTACGCTCCTCTTACATCCGAGCAAAAAGAACTTTATAGAGAGATCCTCAGCGGCACGGGCCGACAGTACCTTGAAACCAAGGCCTTGGAGCGGTTGACAGCCAAGAACACACCTTCCTCTCGCTCATCAAGCCGAAAGCGACGCCGCGAAAGCAGCGAGTCCGAAACGCCCAACAAGAGTATCCGATCAAGTAAATCCTCCACTCCTAGTGTTGCCAGTGCCGGCACCAGCACCAGTCGCCGACGTCGCGGTCCTCAAAGTTACAAGGAAATGGGCGACCGGGAGTTCGACGCGAAGCTGCGCATGCTTGACAAGGGGATTGAAATCGAGGAGGAAGAGGAAGCCGAACTGAGTGATACTGAGCTTGAAGAGATCGAAAGAGCCGAGAATATTAAACTTGCCAGTGCGTACAGCCCCATCGCATATAACTAGTATTGCAACTGACAATTCTCACAGAGAAAGAAATCAGCCAGAAGAAAATGCAAAACCCTGTCCTGCAGGCCCGACTGGCTTGCAACTCACCACACAACTTCTACTGGCCTTGGACAGATGAAACATCCGGTGTTGACGAGTCCCTCGTGTCAGCTTCCGGCAAGATGCTTCTTCTGGACCGACTCGTCCCCCATCTCTTGAAGAGGGGACACAAGATCCTCATATTTTCCCAATTCAAGACCCAGCTAAGTATCATCGAAGAATGGTCCACCCAACTCCGGTCATGGCCATGCTGCCGCATTGATGGAGCCATGGCTCAATCCGAACGCCAAGCCCAAATCAAATCATTTAACACCGACAAAAGTCACAAGATTTTCCTCCTCAGTACCCGCGCCGGTGGACAAGGTATCAACCTTACTGCTGCCGACACGGTCATTCTCTTCGACTCCGACTGGAACCCCCAACAAGATCTGCAAGCCCAGGACCGTGCCCACCGCATCGGTCAGAAGAAGCCCGTGATCGTATACCGACTTGCGACAAAAGGAACCGTAGAGCAAACTCTACTCGAAAAGGCAGACTCCAAGCGCCGCCTCGAGCGACTTGTGATTCAAAAGGGCAAGTTCCGCTCATTGCTGGACACGAGCGCCAATGCCCAAGAGCTCGAGGACTTGCGCCAGGCTCTTGGAGAAGATGAATTTGAGCGCTTCGAGCTTAATGACCAGTCGATTCTTTCGGATGAGGAACTTGCGATCTTGACGGATCGTAGTGAGGAGGCTTATTCCCGTGCCGAGAAGGGTCTTGATAAGACTGGTCATGCCTTTGTGGCCGTGGAAACTAAGCGTGATGGTGGAGAGTCTCTCATGGCTTGATAATGTAATCAGAAGTTTTTCTTGCTCGACATTGTTGATCTTGTGGCTCAGCGATGATCATAGATGTAGGATAAAGCTTGCCCTTTTGTTCTTTCAGTCAAGTTGTTACGTGATATCATGGACACTATTTACCTTGAAATCTGAAGGTTCTACCGTAAGTCAGGAAAGCCAGAAACAATCTAATCTAATATTGTACCCTATCTTTCGGTAGTGATATATCGCCGATAGGACTCCTAATAGTTACCATGACTAATGTTTTTCCGGCAAGTGTGGCCGAGTGGTTAAGGCGTTGGTCTTAAGTAATCTTCTTGAGATATCCAATGAACATTTGTTCTCGCGAGTTCGAACCTCGTCGCTTGCATTTTTTTTTGGTGGCAAAACTACTTTTCTCATAGTTTAAACCCATACCATTTCTATTTTGACACTTATATCACAGCAAGCAACTGGATCTTTGCCTTTTCTTACAGAATCTGCTCACATCCCAGGTTCATAGGGTAGGAAAACAAAGGCATGTAAGTATAATCTACAACTAGTAGCACAAAAGACATTCTTCTTTGCCTGAAATTATAAGAGGCTTGTTGTTCTACTATTTACGTCACTAATGTAGTCCTCGCTTGCCATCCATAGATGTTGAACAATAATCCATTCAGCGCCTGTAGCTCCTTGCCATTAATGTGGCTGTAAAAAGAAGGAGACCAAGATGCAGCCTATACAACCCAGCCCTAGCTCAAGATACCCACAAGAAGAAACGGGCCTCGGGTATTAATCTCCGGCCAACTATCGACGAGACCTCTCCTCCTCGATCTGCTGGCGAAGATCAGCAAGGACTCCCTTGCGCTGAGCCAAGTGGCTCTTCAGCCCCTCGACCTGCTCCCCAACAGTCTTGACATCTTCCCTTGATCGCTCTAGCTGCTGCCCATCCTGCGATCGCCCGACACCCTCACGTAATTCCCGGAGCTCCCGCTCCTTGTATTCCAGCAGCTGGAGAGCTTCCTTCTTGATCAAAACCCAGTTGGGCCGGCCATCGTTTCGGGGTTGATCGCGTCGATTGTCAGAGGCTTGAGTTGCAGACTGAAGCTTCGATTCAATCTCAGCCAGCTCCCGGCGCAGTCGGACCTTCTCCCACTCCTCATCCTGAACGGTTTCGCTGAAATCCGTACCCTTTGGCTGGTATGAGCCCTTGCCGCCTACGCCCAGTCGGCTGAGATATGAGTCTCCAAACTTGGCCTTGCGGCCACTTGTTGTCTCGACATTGCCTTCCGTACCCCAGCGCTGGGCTGGCGCGTTGTCGACCTGGTAGTCGATCTGGTTGTTCTCGAAGGAGGCGCGTAGGGATGCGGGGATGGCACGTGGGATTCGGAACCCCTCGTGTCGGTAGTTTAGGATGTGCAAGAAGGCAAGGGTGGCGTCTTTGTTAATAGCGGGCGCGACGGAGGGGTTAACGAGGTTCCATGCGGAGCGGATATCGGTGTCTGGAACTTCGAGGGAGTCATATAGGGGTTGTAGGGATTCGACTGTAGAGCCGCAAGTTAGCCTTGACGGGCGTGATCATTATGCACCGGAGAAGGGATCACTGACAAGTAGTCTGGCCACGCGGGTTGCGATTGGCGCTATAGATTTCCTCGTATTTGGCCTTGTCGGCGGGCTTCATATACCACTCAAAGCCATCCTTCAGGCCCAAGCTATCATCCTCATCTTCTATCCGTTCGAATTGTTCGGGGCGGTCGCTCAGTGCTCGTGTGGCATGCACAAGGTGTGATTTTGACTCTGGTACAAGCCAATCTGGCAACACGGCGGGGACTTCTTGTAGTTCCTGTTCAAGGCAATGCTGTGTCAACACTTGGGGGTTCTCAGGCGCCCAGGCGGGGTGGTAGAGAGGAAGGGGAAGGGGAAGATGGGATACGCACGCCATTGACGAGGTCGAATACCAGGCGCATTGCGACGCAGAATTCCTCAAAATCAAGCTCTCCATCACCGTCGACATCTGCGATATCCCAGACCTTCTCGAGTTGGTCATCGCGCAGGCGACTGTTGCGCAGTACGGAGGCGGCCTGGGAGCTGTTCAGGTGGGCCTGACCGTTCGCCAGCGAGGCGAAGATCTCCCAGTATCGCTCAATCTCCCATTGTTCAATCTTTTTGGCGGACATGATGGCTGCTGAGGAGTTGAAGGTGGAGTGACTCGGGGGGTTCCATTGGAGGGTAGCCGGACTCCCGCTGTTTACGGGGCCGAGTCCGATTAGCTAATTTGGATTCATCGTCATCCCATCAACTACGACAACCGCACGGTTTACGGGCATTCACATAACCAAAGAAGTTTATTAGAATAGTCGACAATATGAATAGTCGACAATATTGAACAAACTAATCACTTTCAGTATCGTTCACCGGAGGTTCCCTTCCATCTTTCTCAACAACGACAATACCCGAAGCCACAATAACATTATAACTAAACCCCCATCCCATCTCGATAGCACTGGTCGTAGTCTGGAGGATAATTTGCGGCCCTTTTTTCCCGCAAATTTCGGGTTTCGGCATGTTCGTTCCAGTCTATATACCAGGTCGCTGGCCACATAACCAGCACAGCACAGTTTTTTCCCTTCGAGGAGTTCGTAGTATATGTCAGACCTGGAGGGCAAGACAAATGGGGTGCTTCCCATATACTTACGTCCGGGGTATAACCCTTTCGGGCCTTTCGGGCCTTTCGGGGTCGATGGGTATTTTATAGGGAGCTACCTCTTTGACACTCTCCTCGAACGAAAGCCAGCTTTTTGAAGAGAAAAACGGACCGCCATCTTGCAGGACTTCTCGTAGCATTTCCGTATGCTTCCATAGCGGGCTTTGATCATATCCGGAATCAACTCTCTTGAAGATACCTTTGGCGAAATGAGACTCGAGCTGTCAAGAATGTTAAAAGTGGAATGATCAATGCATCTCTCACGAAAGTTATAGGCTCGTGTCCCTGGTGTGACGTCCTTTGCCTGCAAAGGAGTACCAGACTCGTTCCACGGGTCGTATCTGTTGAAGAGTTTGACTTTTGATGCACGCCAATAGTGGCGGCACGCGGGGACACTAGGACGTGAAATCCTCAGTAAGCTCATGACCTTAGCATACAATGAATTATACCTAGGTATCGACCAGAAAATATACCTTTGAGAGCCTTTTGGAAGAGATTATTGACCTCTAAACCATATGTAGTCGGTAGGTCGCTTACACTACCATCCCAGTCCTCCCCGAGGTCAATGTAAAAGAAAGGGTTTCTGACAACATTTTCAAAAAATATCCTTGAAGACTGTTGCTGTCAGGAGTAGTTTAAAGCGCTAAGAAGAAGCACGTGGTGAAAATGAGGTCGCCAGTGAGTCCCAGTCGTTATACAGACACTAGTCGCCTAAGTAGCCAATGATAGCTTGTTTATCTTTCGCAGTCATTCTTGCCTCAATAACATCAGTCTCGTCATTAGCAAATTTATAGGTCCACTAGAACATGTCATTTTCCATACTTTAAACATTCCGACTATGCGCTTTTGGATCAATTCCTCCCCATTGGCATCATGAGTCATAGTGGTCTCTGGGCGGCTCCATGGTTGGTGCTGCTCGTGGGTCATCTATAGGCGCTTCGTGAATCGCCTTATATGCCTTTCTCAATCGTTCTTCTATGTCTAAATGCCATTGCGCATCTTCCTCGCACTTTGTAGCAGATTCAAGATCCCGAGATCGAGCCTCGTCTTGTATCTAGACAAATTCTCTAGTTAGTAGAATTCACCAAGTAATTCAAGCCATGATCAATAATTGGAAGAAGTAATCACAGAGCTAGTATCAAAAAGTAGCTTTGAAGAACTCACCTCGCATTCTATCTTAGCCGGCTGATTTTCAGTAATCTCAGTCCGAGCTAGAGTGGCAGGGTCGGTGATGGTGATATCCTGTTGCTTTTGGTACAGTCAATAACAGGACCCGAGGGGATGTTGCTTCCAGGCGATAGACTGATATTTTGGATCCCTTACCTCATCGACCTGTTGCTCAAATGCTCCTACCTTTACCATATCAGCTGCTTTTCTCTTTGGCACTTTGTTGTATGGAGGAAGCAAATCAAGCGTATCTGAAACGAGGCAGAATAATAAAGGAACGTGTATTCACAGCGGAGTAATGGAGGACACCACATCATTTAAGTATTTCGAGGGGTGGGCTAGAACGAGGGCCGCTCCAAAAGCCGGTTGGAAATTTCTATCAAAGCAAAATTCCAGCTTACTTCCTTTGCCACCGGTTTTTTTCTTTTGAAAACTTGCCCTAATCGGTCTAGGTCGGTCACCATGACTCAAGGTGTCAAAGAAACTTGCAACCCGAAGAATTACCAGTGCTGGTAGTCACCCGAAACCTCTATCAAAGAAAAACTGGGCAATTTGATTGCTCGCTTTTTGCTATTTCGAGGGCTAGCAATTGTTTTGCCGAGATCTGTTGAGGACGGGTGCCTGCCGACTTCTAGATAGCCTTAGCTTAGCTCTCTCATCCCATCACGACCTCCCCCAATATCTGGTTTCTCCCAGTAGCACACCTCCGATAAGATCTAAAGCCCCCCCCCATCTCATTAGCAATCCCACGCCTATAATCATTCCGATCCCCGCGCCCCTGAGCGCGCTTCTGCTCGTCTTCCCTCCGAATACTCGTCACATAATTACGGAACCGATTAGACATCTCCAGGACCTTCTGGAAATGGGTCTCATTGACAATCGTCAAATCCTCCGCATCATAATCCGGGTCCTCTTTCCTCCCGAACTCCGCTAGCGTGATCGCTGTCTGCAGCGCATTGCGAATATCCCGCCCGTTGAGTTGCGTCTCGCCGGTGGTATTGAGAATCCACTTCTTCGCGTCCAGGTCGATTTGAATCTTACCCTTGCGTTCGCGTCTCAGCTTCTGAAAAAAGCCATTCCAAACTCTCCGCCGTGTTTCTTCGTTCAGTTGCTCGTATCCGATTGCGATATGAATACGTGAAATGAATGCGTCATCGATCTGTCCGACGCGGTTGGTGGTCAGGAAGAGAAGGCCTTTGAAGTATTCCACTTGTCGGAGAAAGGCTACCAACAAATCGTCACTATATCAGCCATGTGATGGTAAGAATTGTAACTTACCTGATACCAAGCCGTTTCGCGCGAGGTCTCGATTCTGCCGTCGTTCAAGGAAGATGTCTGCTTCGTCAACGAGAAGCACTGCATTCCATGCTTCCGCAAGATTAAACCACGTCATAAGCTGTCCTTCGACTAATGTCTCGACCGTGCCGATATCAGCAACTGTGAGCGAAAGGAGCGGACGGTGCAACCACTCAGAGATAGCCTCTGTCCTCCGTTAGCTATGTTGTAGTAGTTATTCGCGACTGACGCACCGACTGTGTAAGTTTTGCCAACACCCGGAGGACCTGCGAGAGCCTTGTCAGATGATGATGACCAGCAAAAGCGGCCAACAAATAGATACCGTGTAGTAATATAATCTGCCCTAATCCCTTTCCCTCTATAAAGTCGGCCGACCAGTAACCGGTCTTGCTATTTTGGCGGTTTGAGAGAGCTTGGATAGTCCTCAGCTCGTCCGGACCAATGACCAGATTTGAAATACTCTCATCCGATGGCACGGACTCTTGAATGTAGTCGAGAGAGAGCAGGACTGAAAAAAAAATATTAGTGTCATTTTTTTGGCATTCAGAAAAGAAGCATACCCACTCCATTGCTTGTTTCCCAGAGCATACGCCAGAGCGTCTGGGCATAGTAGAAGGAGTTGATGTTCGGTGAGCTCACTAACGATCCGGACCCTGGGCTCCAAGCCAGGCGATTCAGTGTCTTGATGCTCATGGGCGTTTGGCAATTTCGGTGTCGCCCAATCGATGTCGGCGTCATTGCTTCTGGAGCGTTGTCGGGCATCCTCGGTACGGTCATGGGCGAGTTGTCGCTCTCGAACGGCATTTTCAGCTACCTCGCGCTTGATGAAGGCCAGGCGCGCGGCTTCCTTGGCCCCTCGTTCCGTGCGTTCATCCACGATAAGATTTTCCAGGCGCGTGATCGCTTCGTCCTTTGCAGGATCCACTGGCGGAGCCTCGATAGTATCTATATGCGGGAGAGTGGGGAAGGACGGATCTTTGTTATTTGGCTGCTCCCAGGAGGCTTGGGAAGCTTCTTCGGCCGCCCGTTCGATGGTGGCTCTCGCTCTGGCTTCCTTGGCCTCTCGTGCCAGGCGGTCATCCAAGATCAACTTTTCCAGGCGTGCAATCGCTTCGTCCTTTGCAGTATCCGCAGGCGGAGGCTCTGTAGTGTCTGTAGGCGCGGGATTGTAGAAAGGTGGATCTTTGTTGATATGGATGTCATCGTATTCCTGGAACTGAATCGAATAGTCCTTGACGTACGATGAATTAGGCCGTTGGTGGTTAGGGCTCCCAAGTCCTCTCCGGTGGTCGATCACCACTTTTCCAGTGTACTATTGGAGTGTCAGTGATCTACTAATCGACCGCTTCTTCGCAAGCCCATGACATACGTATGAGTTTGTTTCCTTGATTGGCCCATTGTAATCCGCGAGGAGGTTGCCCTGATGGAGCGCCTTGAAGAAGGTTGCGCTGCGGCGTAATATATGCCTGCGTCGCTCGCCACCGTCCAGCTTGTCCCAAATAGAAACCAGACATACCGGAAGACTCGTGACTTCTCGGAGTCCGGAGTAAGCGTGCACCTTCGCGGATATCAAGCCTCGTCGGAGCCGGGAACCATCGGTCTCTAGTCGCCACACATCTACGAGCCACCACTTTACATCCCCCGCCCCCGCCCCCCAGACGTCGGACTGATTGACGCCATTAGGTTTGACGTCCATCACAACCGCGGCATGCGTCGACTCGTCAACCTGAACATAGACATCTGCCCCTGGTTTCAGAAGATACCATATCATGTCAAAAGCCACCTGGGGAACAGAATCGGAAATATTTCTTTGATAGGTCAGGATGCACTCTTGGTAGATGGGCCGGAGAAATTCCATCAGATGTTGCATATGGTACTTCGTCAGGTCCATATTTTTAGCGTTGCCGCCATGCTCGCTCTTGCAAATCGTTACTGCGGTATTTCTCTCGGCCATCGCTTCGATAGAATCAAAGTGGTGAAACAACACAGCAAAGGGCTCTTGAATCCTCAGGCCCCCTCCTATTGATTCATAGAATATCATCTGGTGAAATGAGGGATAATATTGGACAATTTCACTGAGGCCTTGGGCAAGAAACGGGGATCCCACCACGAGATGTTGCCTCGACACCCGTGTCGGGTTCGAAATATCGAGACGGGGCGAGTCCACAATTCCCGATAATCCGCTCTGTTGGATATCCGCTTCAACAAAGGTCTCAATGGCGATGATTGGGCCGGACCACTCCATAGGCTATGGCACAATACTCTTTGTGTCTATTGTTGGCTGGGTCGGAGGGACGCCAACGGTAACCTCTATGGGCCGATCGTCGACGTACATTAGGTCGGGCTTTCTAGTACCGACATCATCGCTGCCACTAATTCTCCCCCTGCGGTATACTTTGGCATTCCAAGCGATAGCTGGTTCAATGGATGGGTGCTCTGGCTCTGCATCCTGGCGTGGTCTGAGCCTGGTTAGATCAACGACGGAGAAACTCTTGACATGTTGTCGGCCATGAACGGTGCCCATACTATCTGAATCTGAACCGGGTGACTTCGCTGGTATATTTCACGTCGAAGATGAGCAGCTGAGTTACGGGGTATGTCGGTGGGAGGAAGGTGAAAGTTTTCAGTGGGCGAGATCATTTGGGGGGGAGGCTGAGACTCCTGGGCTGATATGGGCAGAGGGGCATTAACTGGCCCGGCCCGACCCACCCCCACCATGGGGCAGGCCCGCTGGTTCCGATCGACACGTCAGCAAAAGAGAAGGCTTGGAGTGGGGTAGGGGTTGATATAATTACTCCGTGCCACAGTGTACATGAACTTCGGCTGGTCGAACGGGTCAGAAGACCGGCTGACAGCCCACATTCCCTGCAATCCATCTCCTGACAGGGAAGAAGATCGGAGAACTCGTTGATCGATCGACTCCACTAGGATGGACATGGACAGAGGCGGCCAAGTAGAGCCCAGCGGCGGAGTACCCCAGCGATTCAGCGATGACCTCTCGCAGTCCTCGCCCGCGGAATCCCCTAATCGTGCTCTGGTGGCCACGGACACGTTGGACCGAAATCGAGAGCGATTAAAATCATTACAAGACGAATGGGACCAGTTTCTGTTAGATGGTTCGGAACTGGGCCATGGGTCCCTCCCTGACAACGAAGCCTTGCTACTCGACCAGAGCCGGCGACTTCACGCGGCGTGGAGCAAATTCCGCCACAATCTCCCCAAAGACCAGCAGATAAAACTCGGGGACCATGAAAGGCCAGATATCAAGTTTCTTGTGGCCGCAGTAAAAAAGGCATCCGCGACATGGCAGTCGGGTCGAGAGGAAAGCACAATGGGCAAGGTCAAATCCAAATTCCACAGCTTATGTGAGACCTGCCATAAACATAGTTCGCTGCTGGCAATCATTCCCAAGGATGACAAGTATGTTTCCTTGTTGACAGGGTCTCTCTCTGCCATCGCTCAGGCTACTATCAATCACCGGAATATCGCCGAAGGAGTGGCTGATACGCTCGACGACCTGTGTCATAATATTGATTTCTGGAACAGACAGATGATGAAGCATGGAGAAAGCCCTACTCTTCGTCAATATATCCAGGAAATTTATATCGTCGTCTTTGAGTTCTTCACTGAGATATTCAACAAATGGTCAAAGTCTGGCTGGAAACGCTTAATCACCAGTTTCGATGGGAGCGCATTCGACCAGCTTTTCACATCCAAGAGAAATCTAATTATGAAAATCGAACGCCGCATGGAACGCGATATCGAGCTCGATGATGACCACCGCAAAAACTTGAGAATGGACAGGATCGAGGCAATCTTGAGTCACTTACCGCTCCAAATGGAGGAGAAGCAAAAATTACTCTTCGGGGACTTCCAAAGATTTCTAGAGCAACAATCATTCCGTCTAGAAGTACCCCAGCCGGCCTCAAACACAAGCATGATTGAAGGTACAGGAAAAGCGACCTCATCTAATCCTACCAGTGACAGTAAACCCTCGCCCCCAGAACCAGAAGCCAACCTAGCCCAACGAGCGCATTACCGGTACAGCCGCACCGAGATCCAGGCAGAACTGACAATCTTCACAAGCCAGTGGATGAATCAGGTTGATTACTTGATTCAGGCCGTCAACGAGTCATCTGTTCTCCAGCTAAATAAGGAGGTGCATCGTCGCCTAATGACATGGCTGCGAGGCCTCAACTCAACTCATTTATGGATTCATGGGCCTTACGACGTGTCACGACCCAGCCAAAATTCCATAACCACGTTGTCTCTAGCGGCACTGGCACGGACCAACAACATCCCCTGTATCTTCTACTTTTGCACGTTCACAGGCCATCATGAGTCTGGGGTGTCAAAGGGTGTCGATCTAGGATCACTCCTTGCCTCCATTGTGATGCAGCTTGTCCAATTCATCCCAGATAAAGGCTTCACCGAGACGGATTTATCTCCTGCACGCTTTGGTGCCCTCGCGCGGGGCGCTTTGAGCGTGGTCGAGACACTCCAGCTGATACGCGATGTTCGGAATGTCGGTCCGAGTTTAGTGTATGGCTTCTTAGATAACGTTCACGTCCTGGAGGATCGGTCCGATGAAGCCTATACCCGCGACTTCTTGAAAACTATCGCGACATTGTGTAAGCTGGATCGCGGGAGCCAGCTCCCTGAACATGCTGTAACAACGAACGATAACGAGGCAGTTCCGGGGACGAAGATTTGTTTTACTACAGAAGGATACGTGGATAGTCTGGCACAGGCTGAAGAGCTGCAATTGGTCGATAGGGTTGAGTTTGATATTGAGATAAAGGACCCCATGGCAGTGGAGGTCGGTGAACAAGTTGTTTGGGATGGTGAGGGCTGCAGGGATGAGTGATCAACACCACTGCGTAATTCCTATTGATAAGGCTATGAGACCATAGGCCGTGGAGTTTTTCAAAGAGGAATTCAAGCGAAGAGAGAGGAGTGACGGGGGGGGAATGGCTGAAGGGAGAATGGCAAGAATTAAGTTCAACAAATCGAAAAAAAAAGGATGCAAACAACTAGAAAAAGCAAAAAAAAAAACATACAACAGCAGGGATTCGCATGTGGTCACCCACCATACTACTAACCTGCCGGCGTGTGGCTTAAGTACGGCTGAGCGGACGGGAAGCCCTGTTCTCCACACCCTATGGTCGTATGTACTGCGTATCAAAGTGTAGAAGCATGTATAGAAAGAATAAAAGGGGTAAGATCTAGGGGAATACTGCAGATGGTAATAGATGATGACCCATGAGATGCCTGGAGGTTATCCTCCAGGGATTAGATGAATAGTTATCAAAAGCTATCGACACCAGTCAACTTGAAGTTCAATGGGTGGTTATAGCTATGTACCTAACTGCACTAAGAATCTGAGTCTGGGCAAATATAAGCACCAAATCGTACTGTCAAGGAAAGTTAAAGTTGATTAGTCGTATCAGTCTCACTAGATCTGGAAGAGCCTGACGTGGCATTGGCCCCTTAATCAACTAACTGAGGGGTGGTGGGGTAGTTAAGTACTTTACAACATCACTCCACCATTACTTCCAGTATTCCATGTTCACGCATATCGGCTTCCACCATGGCCATTTTACCTACGAATCCGACAGAGACGGATAATGAGCTATCCTCCCTCTGGATCTCGGCCTGCACCGACTATGCTGATGAAACAGGAGCTGTCCTCGACGATGAGGAATTGCGAAGCCTCCGAGGCCCCGAAGACCTCTCACGGCAGCTAGACAATGAAAAGGACAACTTTGAGGACTTCCGCGCAAAGCGACGTCCACTCCTACATGCGATGCAAGCTGTGGTCGCCCCCTTTGAGAGCTGGGGTGATCTCATCACCGGTGCTGCAGCTGCGGCATTCCCGCCAGCGTCGTCGATTATGGGGGCGATGCTAATGCTCATACGCGGGGCAAGGAGAGTGAGCGAGGCCTTCGATATGATCACAGATTTGTTTCGCAAGATAGGTCATTTCGCACTGCGATTAGACTCATACAAGGGCGTCCCACTGAGTGAGGGGATGAAGGCGATTATTGTCAAGGTATTGGTGAACTTCCTGCGTGTGTGTACGGTGTCGCAGAATTTTTTGCGCAAGGGGTCGCTGAAAGGGAGGTTGACAAAATGGGCCAAAAATGCGATCGCAGAGGATACGGAGGTCAGTTCGCTCATGGGCGAGCTGGAGGACCTGACGAGCCAAGAACATATGATGGTTTCGGCGCATGGGCTGAAAATGACCAACCAAGCGCTCAAGAATACGGAGGAGCTGCTCGAGAGAGAAGATCGAAGACGTGAACAGGAGAAATTGGAGAAGGTGAAAGCTGCCCTGCAGCCGGTTTCCGCGTCCAGTCAAGTATTCTCCTACACCAACGAGAACCGTATGCCTGGATCTGGGAGCTGGATAGAGAATAGGCTTCAAACTTGGTGGCAAGGAACGGAGCCTCTTCTTTGGCTTCATGGGGGCCCTGGAGTGGGCAAGTCCCATCTCGCATCCAAGATTATCACGAGCCTTGGGAATGGAGAGCTTTCTGGTACTGTCCCCTTGGTGGCGTCCTTCTTCTTCAGGAACAACGATGTTGATCTACAATCTATCAACAAGGCGTTGCGCACTTTGGCATGGCAGATAGCCACACAAAGCCCAAGCTTCGCAACTCATACGGAAGAATTTTGTTTGAGAGAAGACCCTGATAATACCTATACTCTGTGGAGTAAACTGTTGATCCGACACCTCGCTGAGAAGCCATCAGCGGAAACGTGCTTCGTTATCGACGGCCTCGATGAAGCAGAACCGGAAGAAATGGAGGTTCTTCTTGGCCTACTGGAGAGGAAATTCTCAGAAGATGGCACGGAGACCAGACCACCTTTACGCTTTGTACTTCTGAGCAGGGATTCTGTGCGTCCTGTGTTCGAAGGTCACTCATTGGACTGGATCCCCGATATTGAGGTTGGCAATAATGAGAACAAGGACGATCTTCACAAATATGTTTCTCAAAAGCTACAGACAGCTCGACTGTTTCGCTCAGTGCCCGAGCTCCTGGAGGAGGTTATCCAGGAGATCAGCCGGGAAGCCGAAGGCCTCTGGGAATGGGCCAATCTGGCGATTAAAGGCGTGCTGCGCTGTCGAACTAAAGAACAGATCCAAAAGGTTATAAGGAGCACCCCACGGGGAATCGCCGCGATGTTGAACCAGGAGCTACAGCGCTTGAACAGAGAGCTTTCGATATCAGAAGGGTCACCCTTTGGAGAAAACTCGAACGGGGAGGATTCCCCACAAGTTGACCAATTGAATATCATTCTTTCCTTCGTGACTCTCGCACAAAAGCCATTGAATTTGTGGCAGCTCGATGCAATACTGCAAGTCATCTTCAAGGAAGAAATTTTGAATTTGGTGGATGACATCCGCAACTTATACTCTTCACTCTTCCAAATCAGATCTATTGACAAAGTATACTACTTCGAAAATGTTGTAATCTTGCGACATAGCTCGTTTTATGAGTATTTCAGAACCTCTCAGAACTCCGAGCGGATTCATGTCAATCTTGAACAAACTGAGGCCAACTTCCTCTATGTTATCCTGGAGACGTTCCGCAGGTACGAAACGCTAGATTACGACACTATGGTGCTCGACAAGATGCACAGGTGCTTTGAAGAAATGAGACACTATGCCCAGAGCTTCCTGCCGTGGCATCTAATGCGCGCAAATCCCAAGTCGGCAGGGAAGCGGCGTGAAGGCATTGCAGCCCTCTTTGAAGATCTTTTCGCCCAAGAAAAATATGCGAGATGGTTGGTTCTTACCACAACAGCACAAAAGAGCCTTGATGACTACATCGAATATCCTTCCTCTACCACATCGAAGATAGGTCATTTCTGGCTATCTGCCGAAAATCGGATCACTTCGAATAAGAGGGCAGAGCTGGTTCTGAACTGGTTCTCTCCAGAGAAAAAGGAAATTTTTGAAAACAATTCCCGCTCAGCGGAAGAGGCAAGCAATGCATGCCCTTTTACAGTGCTTTTCTCCTTCATGGTCCGGATCTGGCTCCGCCTTTGGCTCGCTCCGGATGAAACCAACAATGGGGATGGCTGGCCGGCTGCAATTCCGCGGCTGTTGAGATTATATAAGGCAATGGCAGCAGCGGATAAGGGACCAGAAGAAGAAGATGAAGTCAGACGGGTGCTAGAGAAAACCTCAGACTGGGATCTCACTGAGATGCCCATAATTATGGAAGCCGCAGAGTTTTGTAAGCTCGAGCACAATGCCATTTGGCACTCCAGAGTCGGCCAGGCGCTGCTCTTGAATGGACACTATCGAGAAGCGTCCGAAATATTTCTCGTGGTGCTCAAAGACGATAAAGATTCAGATACCCTTAATGAACAACACCTCTCTGTTATACACAGGGACTTGGCTCGTGCGTTTACCCAGATGGGGAGACACGAGGAGGCACTGAAGCACGCAGAACTAGCTGAAATGACAGAGCTACCGAGGGAAGATGATTTATACCAAGACCGAGTGCATCAGTTGCTGAACTTGGCGCAAGTGAAGTATCGCGCAAATCGAAAAGACAGTGCAATTGCCACAGCAAATAAAGCTTTCGAAGAGTTTTTGGCGAATAAGAACAACGGGCCGTTTTTTCCAGATTTTGTTTCTATATTCCAGATCTTCCTTGATTTCAAACAGCTACAGAGTCTAAGGTCGGTTTTGAACCACGCTGCCGAGCATTGTGAAAAGAGCGAATTGCAAGGACCGGGGTATCCGTTCGCAGAATTCCTTTTCAACACTTTCGTTTCCAGACATTATCATCTCTACAGGGTACTCCAAATTGCTTTGGAAGAGGACGATCAATATTATTTGGGTCATCTTGCGAAACTTATGACGAGGATTGATGCCGAACGAAACGTGATACAACAAAACTGGGTTTCTGAACCCACATATCTCAAATATCTGATCGCAACCATCTTATTCGATAAGGGACAATCAGATACGGGGGCTCAAGGCTTGTGCCAGATTATCATCGATGCCGGCCGTGATGATGATGACATCGTCTGGCACACAGAAACACGCGGGCACTCACTGGCTTACCTGGTGAGATTGTGCCTAAGTGATGTGGATATCCCTTCTTGCGAGGCCTTGCCAATAGCATTAGACACCGCGGCCGAGCATAGTGTCGCCTGTCTGGTGATCTCAAGCTGGCTTCAGAGCCATGGAAATCTTCAGAATGCAAAACATGCTCTGCGCGGTCGGGTTAAAACATGCGTTGCCTTGCTATCAGACGATCATTCTACAAATGACACAGATACCTTCAAGGCTCTTTTCGAAGCACTCCTAATGGATCCAGATAGCGAGGAAGATCTCACTGCAGCTTTATATTGCATCAAAAAGGACCACGAGCGAGTGATCGAGAGACATCATAAGGAGGCCAGTGATACTGGGAGAAGCGAAGATATCAATAGCACTGACGGTATTACTATGATGTACGATCTGGCAAGGTGCTCAATTTGCATACAAGAGATGTGTGATATCTACGACTGGTACTGCTGTCGCTCTTGTCCGTTCAAGATCTGCTGTCGAGAGTGTTCCGGTAAGCCTGGGCTGGTTGCCGAAAACTCTGGTATATTTAAATGCCCTGGTATTTGCGAGGATGAACATGATTTCTTCTACACCGGAGGATCTCTTCGACAAGAGGAGCGGGTTCCAGAAGGCATGGTGCCGGCCTCCTCATACGGGGATGAAAATGCTATCTGGATTGAGGACTGGAAGGATAGGCTTGTGAAGAAGTGGAATACGGAGGATCTCACTTTCGAAGGAGGTTTATCGGGTTGGTGCATGAGCGTTTTGCCAGAGCCACAGGCAACACGGTGGGCTAAGATGTTCAAAGTTTAAATTAAATTTTAGAAAGCCAAGAATGCAGATTGGGAGCCCCTGAATGCATAATATAACTATCCAGTTTTCCAGTTTAGCCCCATTTTATATTGTCCAATCTCGCGCCTGAGGCCCCTACGATAACTATGTTTATGAAGTTACTACAATTATGCTTAGGCCCGGAACAAACTTTAACATCATGATCACAGCCCTGGAGGCAATGGCAAACGGATACATTGCCAGGCATAAGGACAGATATATCAGACAGCGATTTCACCTTGGTTGGCCACCAAAACTTTCCAGATATGAAAGAGGGAAAGTATGTACCAACTTCCCCGGGTCTTCCCAAGGGTTCCCAAGATTGCGTCTGCGTCTGCTTTATTCATCATTATCATTGTAATGATTATTTGGGATTAGATAAATCTATCAAGTCATGACTTGCGATAGACTTGGTCGTACCTGTCCTGAATTGCTGAAGATGAGACGTATTCCAAGTACTATACACGTGAATAGTTACTTCCAAGTTGCTCATACCAGAGATAGTACATACCTAGGTAGATATTGTCTATTTACTAGTTACTGCCAATAAGTGATTTACAATCAACTTATTCGCTGTTCAGATGATCACCACTTACAAACTGGAAGTTGATTGCTGTTAGCGCTTGCGCCTCTGTTGCCTCCATAATGACTTTACTATTTAATGATTTACATCCATGAGGATTGATTTAACTCTAAGATAGTCCTCAATTCCTTGAGTACCACCCTCTCGCCCATATCCACTGTCCTTGACACCTCCAAATGGACTCTCGCAAGCACTCAACACGCCCACATTCACCCCAACCATTCCGACTTCTAGAGCTTCGGCCACCCGAATGCATCTCGACATGTTCTCAGTCATTATAAAACTGCCCAGCCCCACATTGCTGTTGTTTGCGAGTGTGAGAACCTCCTCCTCTGTCTCAAATGGGTACATTCCCAGCACAGGGGCAAATACCTCCTCCCGCGTAGTGATCATCTCCGGGTTCATATCGCGAATCAGAGTCGGCTGCATAAAATAACCCCTTGACTCTCGAACCGACGCACCGCCAAGGATCACCTTTCCGCCGAGACGCTTTGCATCCTCAATATGCTGCAGTGCCTTTTCTACCGCTCGTTCGTGAGTAAGTGGACCAATCGTCACGCCATCCTGAACTCCCGGTCCAACTTGCAGCAACTGCATTCGCTTGAGTATGGCGTCCGCAAAAGAATTATAGATCCCTCTTTGAACAAATATGCGGTTCGCTGTAACGCAGGTTTGACCAGAGTTGCGGAACTTCGCCATCATAAGGGCCTCGACGGCGTGATCAATAGAAGCGTCGTCGAAGACAATAAACGGGCTATTACCGCCCAGCTCGAGCGAAAGCTTCTTCAGTGTAGGACTACACTGCTGAGCAAGCAACTTACCAACACGCGTGCTGCCAGTGAAGCTAAGCTTGCGAACGATGCTGTTCTCGCAGATTGCTTGCCCGACCTCGGCGACCTTGTTGAGGGCCAGTACGACGTTGATAGAGCCGTCTGGCAGACCAGCCTCTTGCGCGAGAACCGCGAGAGCAAGACTAGTCAGTGGAGTTTCTCCTGCTGGTTTCCAGACTGTCGTACAACCTGCGGCGAGGGCAGCACCGGCCTTGCGTGTGATCATGGCAATCGGGAAATTCCACGGCGTCAGCAATGCCGCAACACCAATTGGCTGCTTGATTGTGAGAATGCGATGGTTGGGATTCGCAGCAGGCACAGTCTCGCCATGAGTTCGCTCGGCCTCGGCTGCAAACCACTCGAGAAACGACGCGCCGTAAATAACCTCACCGCGGGCCTCTGGAAGAGGTTTGCCGTTTTCTAGGGTCAGGATGAGGGATAGATCGTCAATATTCTCAAGGATAAGGTCGTTCCACCGGCGCAACCAGCGTGCACGTTGTCGAGCGGTGGTTTTGCGAAATGAAACAAAAGCTTTACTTGCTGCCTCGATCGCATTGTCTGTATCGGCAGCGTTCATTTCAGGAAGTGTCGCGAGTTTCTCTATCGAGGCTGGGTTCCGCACATCAAAGGTGTCGCTATCTGGCGCGCTGGTCCATTTTCCATTGATGAATCCCTTGGTTTGGAGAAGATCCGGGCGACGAAGGTCGGCAAGTGATTTGGCCATTGCGACTTGGCGGCCGTAAGTGCGGACGAGGCGAAGATGGGAGACTGGGGAGCTTGGGAGATGACTGAGGGGTTTGTAGCACGGGGAAAGTAGAAGAGCAGTACTGTTGAACGCTAGTCGCATTTTGGTGAGGAGTCGAAGAATTGATCCGACCCTGGGCCTGAACTGCAAGTCTGATGTGACTGTCTACCCCGGCTACAGGTGGTTTTCTAAGGACCTAATTTCGGTTACTATAAATGTTGAGCATAGGCAAATGACCCCTCGAATTACCAGTCTGTGGATATGGCGGGGTTGGATTGGAATAGAAGATGGTTCCATATCATATAGCCGATTCGGGTATACTACGTATACCCATCTTGAATCTTGGCTGTCTTCACGCACCCGAAGTCTGTATTCTTAGTAGCTATCTCAAGAAGAGAATTGCCAGTGGTTAAACAGATACTTAGCTCGGTTATCCGGTAATCACTCTCAGGGGCCGAGTTTGACACCTCAAATAAAGCAAGGATCGCACAAGGTTGTACAATGTACAATGTCGAAAAATGACACATTTTATACGTTCAAGGTTTTGTAATCATTACCGGCAGGCACCTGGCATTACTTTCAAAAATCCACCTCCTTTTCTATTTAGCAAACAGGTATTATAGTCAAACGTTGGAATTAAAACAAGTGTAGGGTACAACATCGGGAGGGCATCGCGAAAGATTATCCAATTCTCACTAGTTGTCTCGTTATAAATAGCTGCATATCATCTCATTCAAAGCTTGACATTATCAAGTCCCTTCAAGGGCATGGGCATGTTTAAAATCATTTGGGCGTCTTTGAGGACATCCATTCGTAAGATGGTCCCAATTCCCAATTCACTGAGGAGCTTGCTTAGCGGACCTTCACCCCGAGAAATGCTGACATTCCTCGGTAAAAGCAATTGTGTTGCCAGAAGTGGATTGGTCTGAACCGTCACCTGATGCCATTTGCCGTCGATTTTGTTGATGGCGTTGTTGGTCCCAATAAATGATTGCGATGGGATGGTCTTCAGAGCTGGAAGAGGTACTTCCAGCCTCAGATCCGGTGTTCCATCGGCCCCGGATATGCTGGCCATGACTTTCTCCTCGTTCATTTCAAGACTAATATCGGCAAGCCATTTTGGCAACTGGTATCCATATACACCTCGCACTCGAGCGATCTCAGTGTCAACTGGTAGAGCCAACACGTATCCGTAGAATGTTCGATTCCACATAGAGCTGAGAAGTTGGGTGGTACTATAACTCACTTCACCTGGCTGACGGACAATAATGGCAATGGAAACCTCGTTATAAGGATCATTGTCACAGACCTGGTACGCGTAAAAGGTTAACGCGACCAAACCGTAGCCGGGTAACGCGGTGATGGGCTCCAAAGGCGATGGAAGTCTAGACTTGAGCTGGTCAAGGGGGGCGAGAAAGACGAGTTGCACACTGCTTGTGCGATAGTAGAAGTTGGGAGCATATATCTGACCGACTCTTGAATCGACCAGCTTCTTCGGGGTGTTCAAGAAAAAGTTCATGTCGGGACCGACCGCTGGATCCAAGGCTACCTCATCGAGGTTCGGGTTCATACGGTAGCGATCGTAGTAACCACCTTTGGGGACATCGACTTGCTGGCCTCCAAATGTGACTTGGACGGTCGGAAATTTTGACGGTCTGTATTGTATGAAAGGGTCAATGACACGGTAGTAGGAGAGGGAGAGACGTGAGAGCTAGTACATACGGTGGGCGGGCCCTCGAGGACACCAAGCGGCCTATGGTCAGAGACATGATGTTGGCCGTATGCTACCTTGGTAGGTTCAACTAACAAGCGGACTGCTGAAGTTTTTGTTTTTCACAGGTATGATCTTAAAGCTTCATTAGCCTCTCAAAATTTGGTTCCTGATAATATCGTGGCTGGATGTGCAATGATGGCGTCAATAAGAGGTGAAAGACAACCATCCGGGGTATTAGATTAATCAAATGAACACAGCGATCTTGTGAAAGTTTAAGCTAGCCTGAGGCTGGAGTAGTCGCTACAATACTTCTATTTGTAGGAAACTATGGAAAAGGGATTCGGGGCAATCGGCAACCCGATCCTACTTCTATCGATGCGTGTCGGAATGATTATTCACGGGCAACACATACCATAATTAGTGTGGAGCATATCAAGTCGTCCCGTGAAATCAAGAATCTAAAAGGAAACCTAGAAGCCAGTTCATTGATGAGAGAAATCCGCATGTTCTCAAAGAACGGTCCAATTGATATAAGGATCAGATGGTTTACGCAACAGCGTAAAATATGCCCTCTAATCTCAAGTCTCCTAGTTCATCATTTCTTTTCTTTCAAGGAATTTGCGGGTTTCCTCGAAATCGGTAATATTCATCCATACCCGTCGGGGCAATTGCTGCTCCGTGGTTCTTCAGGCCCACTATTGTATCGCCGTGCCTCGGTTCCTCACTACTCTCGTGCCAGCGGAGGCAAAATGATTGAAGGACTTTATAAGTCTAATTACTCTTGCTTAAAATGTGAGATGGCCGTGTAGCGGCTTGGATGAATCTCCCTGCAGCACAAGCACTGATCAGAAACAGACTCGAGATCTTGTGTGTCTTGCCACCGGGAGCCGCGCTGGTTGCTGGAAATTGGGATGGTCCCGTCGGTAGGGAACCAGATTCCACGACTGGTGCAGTTATTGACTCGTGATATGATTGTCTCGAATGTATGCAGGAATATACACTGTTACCAGGCGACGTAACAGGACAACTGGAATATAATATTGCTGGGTTTGCGTTGATTTCCGTCGATCTCTGTGCAATGAGAAGAACTAGAACGACCGACAAAACAGAACTCCCCGATTCCCAGCGTGTAGTCGAATTTCTCGCTCGTCGTATCACTTCTCCTGGCGTCCTTCCTTTTGCACCCCATACCCTCGGCGGTGGTGGTATCGTTTCAATATTTCAGCTCGCACTTGACCAGGAGTCTTGGCTACCAGCAATAGAGTCACTTGTGAATTGGCATCGAAGAACAGCCACGGCGAGGCCATGCCCAGTAGTTTTCATTACCCTAGGTGTTCGCGCCAGCTGGCAGCTTTGCAAAGTTGCAAATGTTCACGTTCTCGCATGGGCTCGGCGACATGCTGTTGAAATCTCCTTTGGCGAGAATCCTCCATCCATGCCAGCTATGAAGGATATGGTGGAAATATGCTGGCAGGCTGTGAAACCCACTAGGGCATCAGATTCTAGATGAACTGCTAAAGACATCCCCGATTCATCCGAATCATATATGCGGCACGACTGGGCGAAATGGAACTTCTGAGGCAATTTTGTGTGGACGGCCGGACATAGTCCGCTGGTTCTTAGACCAGCAGAATTCAAATCACGTACAGAATGTCTCTGAACGCATTTTGGACCCACGTATTCCAACTAGTTTGCCTAACGAATTCCGATGTTCGGTAGATTATGCAATACAACAATGGGACACTACAGCGGCAACTTGTCTGTATATGATGATGAAGTATGAACCTGCTCTGGAGATTATGGAGGGTGGAGTAGACGGAATTGCAGGGACCAAAGCAGGTGTTGCCAGACTAGCACTAGCTGAGTTGAATGTACCGGTGGATGAATATAGAGCTGAGGCGACAGCTGGTGGGATGTCTTTTGCTGAACGCGACCGGAACATCGCGAGGGTAAGACAAATTGCGATGATGAAGTGGCTTCCTGCACTCGATGGAGTTGAACCTGAGTGGAAAACTACAGCACATGGGATCGCAATGAGGACTATAATGAGGGGATGGCAGACTACCAATTTATCTGGAGGCAATTCGATGTCGACCATACCCAGTTTCCGGTGACTGAGGGCACGCGGGCTTATTTCGTGAGGGGGGCAGTAACTAACTGGAATGCACCGTTTGTGTTTCAAGTTATTTTTTTTAGTTATATTTATTGATTATACTCATTTTGTAACTTTGGAATCCACGGCATTTGCTTTCTTTCTTGTTTAGTCCATGCGGCGCTCCATGCGGCAACCGTCTCAGCAGGTCTGTAATTCCGGCTAACAGTCCCAACCGTCTTGCCGAATTTCGAAACGGATTTTATCAATCAAATACGGTGAGAATATCCTGAATTGTTTGGTCTTATTCTATATATCAGCTTTATTAAAGTCTAAATTGGGTCAAAAACACCCAAATGGTAACCTATCACACCACACTTCAGCACAAGGCTCAATGCAAACAAAAAATGCAGTCATGGCGGGGATGATGGGAAGCCCAACGCCAAATCCACCTTTAAAGGGTGTTTCGACACGATAAGAAGGAAAGAAAAGATAGAGGAAAGGAAGAATATAGGAAGAAACAGTGAAACTTCATCAGACATAATCATCAATAAATCAATTCAAAGGCTCCTGATAGACTCAAACCCAAGCAGCAATCCCCTCTCACTCCGCAATAGTAGCCGGCTGCTTATAATCCGAAAAAGTCTCGGGCCAAAGAAACATCTTCTCCTCCTGCGAAGGCGTAGCAGCAGCCATGAGCGTCGGAACAGCCTCCTTACTCGAGATGCGCCGCCACATATTCGCGCGAGGATTGTACCGCACGGGCTTACCCACTCCACCAGTCTTCTTCTGGTCCTCGTTGGAAATAGCCTCAATCTCGCGCTTGATGTCGGAGAAGGTATCGAATGGGATGAAGGGGATATTCTGTTCTCGGCAATATTCTTCGAGGCGGAGGCCGCGCCGCGCGAAGAGAACGTCCGCTTCGCGGGCGGCGGCGAGGTCGGAGACGCCGTCGCCGATGAAGACTATAAGCGGCATCTCGTCTGGGGCGCATTCCGCTTGGGCTAATTTGCGGCCTTCGATGATAGAGACGTCTTTGTCGTGGCCTTGGATGGAGTCGTGGCGCCAGATTGGTTTCCAGGACTGGCCGTCTTGTGAGATTGTCGCGTCGTTGGCAACGATTTCGATTTCGGAGGACTGGCGATATTGAAATTGATATTAGTATATGGGTTTTTAGGCAAGGTTGCGCTTTTCGACGTACCTGTTTTTCACCGAGGGCCATATCCAGAACTCGACGTAGGATCGGTTTTAGCCCGGCACTAATTACGTTGAAGGGGAAGCCATTGGCCGTGCAGTATTGGTGAAATTCCTTGAAGCCAGGGTCCATTTCGATACTCTTCTCCATGAGGACGAAGCCATCGTCAAAGGGGACGTGGAGAGATGCCCACATTTCTTCCGAGGCGTCGCGGAAGGTCCTGGCTCCTGACTTCATCTGTGCCTCGAGTCTTTCTCTGGCTTCCGCTCCGAAGCCGTGGGCATCGACGAGGATGTGGCCTGTATCTTGCATGCATATTGTGCCATCGAAGTCTATCGTGCGTGTTAGAGGGGCATTCGAACTTCAAAATTTAATCATGACAGCGAAAGGGATGCATACCGGAGAAGATGACGATTTTGCGTTTTGAAGATGTAGGTTGCGTAGGTCTCATGTTGGAGTTGGTCATATTAGGGATTAGAACGGCGGAGTCTAGATGAGAATACAGATGCGAGAAAATAAAAAAGAAATCAGGGAATTGAATTGATTTAAACAGGATATAAGAGACTTCCTCTACGAAAGACCGCGGACCCCGTGGCGAACAAGAACAAGAACAAGAACAAGATAGAAAACTGTATGACGTAGGAGAGATACGATACTCTCTCATAGTGGGTCGACGAGAGTGGAGGACGAACACAATCGCAACGTGCTGAGTCCAGTTGGTCGGTCTCGGTCGGTGCCACTGCCGAGTCTGCATGATCTAATTGGTTCATCCCTCAGGGCCTGCCGAGAAAAATGGGGGTCAAGGGTTTCCGATGCCGAAACCTGGTCGGGATTGGCTGGGAGTACATCCGGAGTGGAGAATGCGACTACGATCCATTCAACGGTCGACAAGTAACTGGTACAATCCAAGTTCATTTGCGCTAAAATACACATGCCATTGGAGAAAGAATCCGTTCACCCGCCTAAGTCGCAGTTAGTTCGGCCACCCGACGCTCGATTTCAGGGACGGCCCGAAGCTGCAGTTCCAATTCATCCTTCTCACTGTGGGAGAACATTAAGGTCAGCACAAGTCAAAAGTTGTGATTAAGGGATGGGGTATGTCATACTCTTCTAATTTCATTCGCCTTTCCCAGTCCAGTCCTGTGAATATATAACTACCCTGGCCGTCAAATTGTAGAATCTTCTGGTGGTATTTCCAGAGACTGCGTCGGTGCGAGACAGTCATCAAGGTGATGCCGAGCTTCTTCGCCGTTTCGTACATGACCTTCTCAATCTCCAAGGTCACCGAGGAGGTGCACTCGTCCAAAATGGCGAATTTGGGCCGATGATAAAACAGCCTGGCCATGGCAATACGCTGTTGCAGACCACCTGATAGAACATCGCGCCACTCCTCCTCCGCGTCCCAGCCGCCAGGACGGTCGACAACAGAGGCGATCTCCACAACGGACAGAACCTCGTAAAGGTCAGCATCAGTCACACCCTTGGCACGCATCTCGCGCACACCATCGGGGTAGGTGACCTGCTGTCGCAGTGTTCCGCGGGACAGGTAAGGGCGCTGCGGAATGTAGAAAATGTCTTCAAAGCGAGGCTTCTTGACTGAGCCTCCGTAGACGGGCCAAAGACCGCCCAAGATGCGGAAAAGAGATGACTTGCCGCATCCATTAGGGCCGACAATCAGAAGATGGTCGCCAGGATTTACGGTAAATGACAACTTGCGAACAAGAACATCGCCATTTGGTGACACGATGGGTACATCTGTGAACTCGATGAAGTCACTCTCCATGACCTCGCCACGACCCGAGAGAACGGCCGCGTTCTCTTCAGTGGAGGCCGATGATACCAGCTTCTTCTCGAAACGTCCAGCGACCAAATCATCCATGACCTCAAGTAGGGATGACACGCGAGAGGTAAAGCCGGCAAGCTCGGAGATCTCCTTGTAGGAAAACATCAAACGGCCAAACGCGTCGGATGAAGATAACAGCATTCGGCGGTTAGTGACGAAGCTCTCGGTGCGGTCACCCATGGTCTGGGTGACTTGACCGGGAATCTTAAAGAAGACGGGCAAGCTGCAAAGAACCAAACCCAAAGCACCCCAGAAATACTTGATAACAAAGTCCTCCATGAACCCATGATATAGTCTCCGCCGTAATATACGGTTCACATGTTTGATGAGAGTAAAGTAGCCCTTGTCTAGGGTATCCTTCTCGGCCTCGTGGCCGTGGTAAAGAGCCACCTCCTCGCTGTAGTCGATAAGCCTCGAGTGGAGGAAGCGGAATTCACCCTCTAGTCTAGCCTCATCCGCAACATACTTGCCAAAGGGCGGCGTTAGCATGCGCATGACGTTGGCCGACAGCTGTACCAGCAGACTCATAATGAACAGCCCTTCTCCACCGACATTCTTTGACAAAGAGTAGTTATAGATGCACATATCGAGGATGGGCTTGGCTAGGTTGGAGTAGAGCTCCGCCAGACTGTCGGAGAAACGCGACACATCCACCGTAACGAGCTGATCGGGGTTCTTGATCCGGTCATCCAGTGCGGAGATGGCGTAGAAGGTCATATTTGATAGGTATTTGTCGTGTATATAATCAGTCAAACGTTTTCGATAACTCAGGGCAAGTTTGCATTGGTGGTAGGAGAGCTAAAGAGAGACGTCGGCGAGTTAGCAAGCAGCTTCTCCACGGTCGCAAAGCCGCACATCACTCCAACCGAGCGATGTCGACACCAAGAGTCTTACCATGGAGTTTGTAAACGTTGCCGGCACTGCGACAATCATCCACCAGAAAAGACCAAACAAAAAGTCCTTCCCTTTTCCCCGCACCAGGTTGCTCACGAGACGGCCATCTAGCTCGGCAACATACAGACTGAGCAACGTCCGCAGGACGAGGAAGACGCTGTGGCTCACAAGGAGGCGGAACTCTTTACTGCGCCATCCAGGAATCACGATCTTCAGGAGACGAAGCAAGTGTTTAAAGAACTCTCGGTTGATCTCCACACGCTTCTTCCGCGGTTGTTCATCGTCCCCAAGGCTGCTGGTGCCAGGTTGCTTTCTTCGTAGCTCCACCTGTTGTGAAGCAGCTTTCTGCTCGGAGATGGCATTATGGATCCGTTTGGCGAGTGCGGCGAAGAGTGCGAGGTAGACGCCGCGTGATATGCGAGTTCGGTGTCGGAGATAAAGGGAGGTGAGGCTAGAGAGGATCTGCTTGACGGAGCGATCGGGCGGCAATAGTTTAGATTGAGCCGCCATGACGATGGAATCGAATGCGACTGATCAGCCGGAGTCGCGTATGGACATGACCGGATGTGGTAGAGTTGTGGAGGTGAGAGGAGAGGAGAGAGGAGGAAAGAGGAGAGGAGAAGCTGTTCGAGTGGATGACGGAGTTTGGCATGTGAAACCCCCAGGAAACTGGGGAAGTTCAACCGAGGATCTCCACTTTAGCTACAACATAGATTCATAACATCGATGGATAATAGTGGTAATTACTGATTTTAACTAGAACGGAGGAATATTGAAGAAGTCAAATTGTGCTATCGAACGCAATGCAAATTACAAAATCACTCATCACATGAACTCCCACCGGTGACACCCGGCGGACTCGGGCAGACAACAAACACAAGCTCAATCCTTGACAGCCAGAGGCTCAACGTTCCAGATACTATCGGCGTATTCGTTGATAACCCGATCGGTCGAGAAGAATCCCATGCGCGCGACGCTGGTAATCGACTTGGCTAGCCACTCCTCCTTGTTCAAGAAAGCCTCGTCAACCATTTCTTGGGTCGTCACATAGGAGTGGAAGTCGTCGGAGACAAGGTAATAATCACCGTGTTCCTCAATAGAAGCAGTGAGTGCGGAGAAATCACCAGCGTCACCAAACATGTTGTCCTTGATTGCTTTGAAGACCTTTTCCAGGGCCGGGTCGAGTTGGAAGTCGCCGTAGAAGTGACGGTGGCGGAGATCTTCGACGTCCTCAGCGAGATTGCCGAAGAGGAAAATGTTCTGATCGCCGATCTCGCGAGTAATCTCGATCTGTATAAAAAATTCGAATTAGTCGATTCTCAGTCTATCGCGGAGGGGAGGGGAGGGGAATATTCACGTTTGCGCCATCACATGTTCCAATGATCAAACCACCATTCAATACAAACTTCATGTTGCTTGTTCCACTTCCTTCAGTACCAGCAGTAGAGATGTGCTCGCTGATATCTGAGGCTGGGCAAATGATTTCGGCCTTGCTGACATTGTAATCTTCGATGAAGATGACCTTTAGAAGGTCGCCAACATCAGAATCATTATTGACCACAGCGGCCACCTTGTTGATGAGATGAATGATGGTCTTGGCCATCCAGTAGCCTGGTGCTGCCTTGCCGCCAAAGATTGAGACTCGAGGGACCACCTTCTTGCGCTCCGCGGCGGACATGCCTTTGATCTTCAGGTAGCGGTGAATCACTCCAAAAATGTTGAGCTGCTGTCGCTTATACTCGTGAATGCGCTTGACCTGAATGTCAAACAGAGATTCTGGGTTCACGGTATATCCAGTTGTATCCTTGATGAGTCTAGCCAAGCGAAGTTTGTTGTCCGACTTGATATGTGCCCATTTGCGCCGGAAGTCTTTGTCGTCGACGAATGCCTCAAGTTTATCCAGAAGAGTCAAGTCGGTCAAGAACTCGTGCCCTCCGAGCTTCTCTGCAATCAGACTGGAGAGAGCTGGGTTCGCCTGGTGCAGCCAGCGTCGCGGAGTAACTCCGTTGGTTACGTTAGTGAAGCGATCAACTCCGTAAATGTCGACAAAATCCTTGAAAAGAGTCGACTTGAGTAGGTCAGAGTGCAACTCGGCCACGCCGTTGACCTTATGAGATCCAATGATGGCAATGTATGCCATACGCACCATCTTCGGGTGAGATTCCTCGATGATGGAGACACGGGACAGAATCTCACGGTCATTGGGAAACTGCTTCTCCACGGACTGCAAGAAATACAAGTTGATGTCGTAAATGATTTGCAGATGTCGGGGAAGTAGGTTTTGCATGAGAGGAACGGACCACTTCTCCAACGCCTCGGGGAGAACAGTGTGGTTGGTATATCCAAAAGTCTTCGTCACGATATTCCAAGCTTCATCCCATTCAAGACCCTCAATATCGATCAAAATGCGTTGCATTTCGACGATGGCAAGCGTGGGATGAGTGTCGTTAAGCTGAATTGCCACCTGGTCGGGGAACTCACTCCAGGCCCTCTTGGTCTTCTTGAAGCGACGCACGATATCGTACAAAGAGGCAGCGCACCAGAAGTACTGCTGCTTCAGTCGAAGTTCTTTGCCTCGCTCCAGGTTGTCATTGGGGTACAAGACGGCTGAGATGGTCTCAGCGCTCTGTTGGTCGGCCACCGCACTCTCGTAGTCTCCAGCATTGAACTTCTGGAAATCAAATTCTCCGCTGCTTGCCTTGCTAGACCAGAGA